AGCGGGTCGTCGGCACCAGTGTCGATTTAAACGACGGTTTTTTTCTCATGCAAAAGCATCTGTAACGCGAGCAAGCGTGCACACACGAAGCGTGTTGGACGAGGCTCGACGCACGTAGTTTAGTTCGTGTATCGTCGACATGCAGAAAAGCGCGCTGAATAAACACTCCTGATAGCGTGCTTGTAACGAGTTTAAAATCTAACGATATCCCGTCGGTTTGGCACACGGCCGAAGCTCGCTACTCGCCAGCTATCGAACAATCGCCTATACAACAGAAATTTCGATACCCGTTTTGTATTCATTTCCGTTTATATTGCGGCTGATATTGATATCCTCCCTTTTTCTACCCAGCGGTTATAAAACGATTGGCGTTGATTGTTCGTTATTAAATCGTGACAATCGTATCATTAAACGGCTGTAATCTTTTGTTTTTTATAAAACGCATGATTTTTACAAACTCGTTAGATATCAAATATATTTTGTATGTAGATTATTAAAATAATTATATACTGCGTTTAAGTAGATAATTATAAACTAAAAAATATGTTATTTGCGACTATACAAGGAAAATTTCGTTTTATCACATTTCTATGATAAAATGATATATCTCATTAATTTTGTTTTTTATCTTAGAAAATTATCAAAGATGAAAATTAATTATATTGAAATGTCTAAGTCTTTAAGTAAAAACGTTAAGTTACAAGTACACATATTTATGAAAAAAATTGGTACATTAGATATCCAATAGAAAATAGGTGAGTCATAGTTGTCTAAATATCTCGGCTACCCTCGTTCCAGCAGATGAAACGAAAGATGAAGCGTAATAGAAGTTCGGCAACGAACAAAATCAAAAGTATCACGACGAGGGTACATAAGGAACTCATATACAGCCATGGGAGTTTTGGTACGGGAGGTTGCTGCGGTATGGAGGAGGAGGAAGGAAGGAATAAATCCAAACAGTAAACAGAGCGGAGCTTGCGGGGGGAGAAACGTTGGTGAAAATTCTAATATATAAAAGATATGAGAGCCCGCGCGAGGGGGGTTGAGCTCGAGGAAGCCTCCGGGATTCAAATAAGTGGCGTTACCCGCGAGGTACCCGCGAGGGTGAAAGGGCGGGGAGGGCAGGGGTCGTAGGAATCTGAACAGCCAACAACAAGCGCGGCCTCCGACCTTTATTTAACCTTTTCTTAAAAGAGTCTTAGGAGTCCCTCTTATCTGCAGTCGATGGCCCTTCAGCGTTGGTCCTTATACTTTCATTCTTCCGTACTCTTATATCTTTTTCCTTTGGTCCTCGTGTACACACGTCGAGCTTCATCGTCTTTTTCTCTTATCCCCTCCTCTTTCTCCTGAAAACTCTTAGGTTTTCGCGAATAACGAGTAACCCTTTCCGGGATGTTCCGCGGTTTCGGTTTAAGAATATTTTCGCTTCTTCATTAAGAGAGAGACGCTAAGTTGGCATTAATGAATTAAAGGACGTCTGCGAGGATGAAGGATGAGCCAAAGTAGATTAAACAATTCTGCCGATTGTCGCATTTCGCTAATTTCGTGGGCAAACGACATTGTTCGCAATTTGAACGAATACGCATGGTTTTACTCATTAGTAATAGAGGTTTGTTTGGATAATTTATATAAGAGCCGTATTTTAAATCTCTTGAAATTTTTATAAACAAGGGCAGAACTAAGACAAAAAAGAGATTTGATTGATTTGCTTGATACGAAACGAAACTTTTCAATACTGCATTATTTCTGGAAACAAAAAATATAACGTTATTTTCTCAAACTAGGATAATGTACATATTGATTCCTACTATTTACATACCAATGCAATTAAAAAAAATATAATTCTATGCTTTCTTATGTAGTAAAGTTAAGATTCAAATAAGTGGCGTTACCCGCGAGGTACCCGCGAGGGTGAAAGGGCGGGGAGGGCAGGGGTCGTAGGAATCTGAACAGCCAACAACAAGCGCGGCCTCCGACCTTTATTTAACCTTTTCTTAAAAGAGTCTTAGGAGTCCCTCTTATCTGCAGTCGATGGCCCTTCAGCGTTGGTCCTTATACTTTCATTCTTCCGTACTCTTATATCTTTTTCCTTTGGTCCTCGTGTACACACGTCGAGCTTCATCGTCTTTTTCTCTTATCCCCTCCTCTTTCTCCTGAAAACTCTTAGGTTTTCGCGAATAACGAGTAACCCTTTCCGGGATGTTCCGCGGTTTCGGTTTAAGAATATTTTCGCTTCTTCATTAAGAGAGAGACGCTAAGTTGGCATTAATGAATTAAAGGACGTCTGCGAGGATGAAGGATGAGCCAAAGTAGATTAAACAATTCTGCCGATTGTCGCATTTCGCTAATTTCGTGGGCAAACGACATTGTTCGCAATTTGAACGAATACGCATGGTTTTACTCATTAGTAATAGAGGTTTGTTTGGATAATTTATATAAGAGCCGTATTTTAAATCTCTTGAAATTTTTATAAACAAGGGCAGAACTAAGACAAAAAAGAGATTTGATTGATTTGCTTGATACGAAACGAAACTTTTCAATACTGCATTATTTCTGGAAACAAAAAATATAACGTTATTTTCTCAAACTAGGATAATGTACATATTGATTCCTACCAATGCAATTAAAAAAAATATAATTCTATGCTTTCTTATGTAGTAAAGTTAATTTTTTTTTATCAAATCGATAATCGATAATTAGAAGTACATATATTCTATATTTATATATATTTTAAATTTGACTACAATTATATGAATTAAAAATTGAGCAGTCTATGAAAAATGGAAAAATTCAAGTTGCCGTGAACCACGGAGTTCGTGATTACGATAACGGAAAAAACAAGAATTCGCAAAGGGCTTCAGACACATGAGCAAAATTCTGCAAAGTGATGTGCCTTTTCTTCTGTTTTTCTTCATCGCCTCCTGACTTTACCGTCCTCTTTTCCCTTTTCTTTCTTTCCTCTGCCTCACAGACATCGCTCCGAAACGCCACGCGCTGGCGCTCCTGACTAAACACTGATAACGTGCGCCATGGAATTTCTTTGCATGTTATAAACATACGTAATCGTACACAAATAAGATTAGCATAGGACTCGGCATGCTGGATTTGCAAGAGACACACGGCCTTTCGTCCGCGAGACAATCGTTTCGTAGCGTCGCGGACAAAGGCAAACGTATTTTAAATTTATCTTCGGCTTTCGCGACCGATGGGATATTTGACTCAGAAAAACGAGAGCCTCTCGTTTACTAGTTCGTATAAAAACGATTAGTCAACACAACCAAATAGCGCAAAATGACGTCATTTATGGCGCTATATTAATATACGGTGCATAAATTAATAACACAAATAATAAATAATTTTTATGTAAATTAATTCTTATATAATATTTGCAGCTGTCAATCGCAATTATGTACGTACGGAATTACTTACTGCATATTAACACGGAATTTTGAGGAATTTTTTTTTTAGAGTGACACATTGTTGTATAAACTTTTCTGCTGATTAGAATATAATTGACGGAGTCGGCACTTTTGATATTTTAGTGATATTAGATATGACAAAAGTTTTGCTGCATAAAGACGCAAAAAAGTGAGGGAATATTTTCGCGGGATAAATACATCGGAAAACGCATACTCGCTTGTCTTCGACAAAGTGTTTTGCTGTTCTGTTGGATCTTTGGGTTGATAAATATTTGCACAAGCAATGCGTCCCGAGACACGTGTGTTTGTAGTAATTACTTTGTTGCGTGACGATTGTTTGTTATGCAATTCGGTTCTCCGACGAAGGCACGAAGTACGAGGCCAACGGGCATTCGAATTGGAAATATTTTTAACTGAACGTGTCTTGTACATCACTTTACTTGCTATTATACGTGATTCAACATATGTTTAAAATAAATGTTTACAAGAACAAATAATTAATTAGAGCAATAAATATATACATATATATCACTATATATATATCGCTCTAATCAATTACTTGTTACATATATACATATGTACATATACATATATATAATAAATAGCTTACTGACCAATTTGATTATAATTTGCGGTTTGTATCATTATTTTGCATATTTTCATCTTTAAAATATTTATCTTAATAAAAATAAATTGATACATGTTATGTAATTTGACATCTCATATAAGAGACAATATAAATGATTTATTTTATGAATTAAAAATTTTTAAATACACGTGCAATAATTGCCGAAATTTAATTTTCAAATTTAATTTGTGCGAATCTTTTATAAGAATAATTATTTAATAATAATTATCTTTTGTTACAAAAATTTGATAAAAACATAAGGATCTGTAACACTAAGTTATTTCTATGATGATACATTTTATTAAGGTAATTACGGGTAATAAATTTGTTAGAGAACGTCGTGTCTCTAATGCCGTTCCATTATATCATACAATAATATAATAATGAAGAACTTATCGAGACATCTGGAATGCGCTCAAAAGTTTCGACCCTCGATCGTACCCTCGCAGCAAGAAACGAGCGGAAGAGAAGCTGAGTGCTCGGTTCCGCCTTTACACTCGACAATCTGCTTGATGATAGAACTTAATAAAACAAATCCCGCTGTGTAAACAGCCGAGGAGACTCGAACCGACGTCATTCAGACAACAGCGAGTTTTCCTCCGAGCCAGCCAATGATGACGGAGCCGAGAGCTGGCCCGCTCGAATACCATTAGATAAGATCAATATTGTTCAAAATACGGTAGAAGTTTAACGCATGTACATTACATGGCATTTATATCATGAATATTCCGCCCGGAGCTGCTCTTAGCTCCCCCGCTATTTTGCGTTGTGCTATCTTTCACATTTAACCCTCGTTCCTTATCTCAAAATTTGTCGCTGCGTAAATACCGATTTAAATCTGGATGTTCAAAATGTAACTCCTTGCCGACGTTTTACGATAAAATGTCATCTCTCCACGAGGCAGCTCGCAACAGCCTTTGATCGAGCTCTCGATCTCCATTTTCGTATTTCAGGCTACTTCGCTGTTTGCAGCCCTGAAACAGCAGCAACAACAATCGCGCGACAGCGTCTTCTCGTCGCGGGATCGCGATTGTCGCGATAGGGATCGCCTGTCTACGACACGCAATCGTGACTCCGGCAGGAGTAACATTGCGGAGACCGGCGGCGGCAACGGGGCTGCTGATCAACAGCAGCAGCAGGATCTTAGCATCGAGTACCAAAGCAATGGGAAGCTCAGTCCCGCCGGACACGTAGTGACAGCAGCACCCATGACCCAGCAAAAGCAGCCAATTATCACGCAGCAGTCGCAACAGCCCAGCTCGGGGGCGCCAGGGCCCCAACCTAGTCCGCATCAGAGCCCGCAAGCCCCGCAGAGGAGTTCACCGCCAAATCCTTCCCAGGGTCCGCCACCCGGTGGCCCGCCAGGGGCACCGCCGTCGCAGACTCCCTCACAGATGATGCTCAGCTCGGCGAGCGGCCTCCATCAAATGCAACAGCTGCTGCAACAACACATACTCAGCCCTACGCAGTTGCAATCCTTTATGCAGCAGCACACGTTGTACATGCAACAACAACAACAACAGCATCATCAGGTCAGCATCTCTTTTATTTCCTCGTTATATTTTTTATGAAAAAATCTTTTATTTTATTATACTATAATGCGCACTATGATTTTTAGATTAAATGCTGCTGTTAAATGTTGTTAGATGTTAGATATATAGTAGATCGATCTATTTTTTTAAATCATCAAATGTCGACGTTACGATTAATCTTAAATTAACTTTTGTCGTATAATTTTGCAATTTACAAAATCTTTGCGTTCACTTCTTACATCTCTCTCTCTCTCTTCCATCTTTATATTATCATTGCTTTATTATCATGCATCTAATCAGGAACGTTTCGGCTACTTCTCTTCTTTAAAAAACGTAAGTGAAATTTCTAATCTTCTTTTCGTATCATAGAAAATTTATACTCAAAAGGAAAGAGGCTTTATATTATACTACATTCTGAGACACTGCAATCATCGTAAATGACAAATTTTAAATTAAATTCTTTATTCTTGACAAATAAACGAGATGGAAACACACAAGAGACACTTTTGTGAGAAAGCAAATCTTGAAAGAGGTTTTGAATTTCGGTGTACGCGCAATTCGTGGCCGACAGAACTGCCGGAAACTTCGATGCTGTAGCGAGAGGGTTGATACTCGGTCTGTGTAAACAGGTAGTCCCTTCTATATCGTTACAATAACAATACACGTCGCACGAACCACTTTTGCTATCTAGCCTCAATGTTATCCTGGCGCCTACGATCCAATAAGCACTCTGATATTCTTTTTCAAAAATATCTACGCACCCGACAACAAATATTTTTTATATCGCATCACGTGGTTTATTGTAGCAGAAACTATTCTTCAAAGACGAAAGTGTGTAAGACTTTGAGTTGGACATGTTTATTATATTTTGCTCAATAATTGTCGGAAGATGGATTAATAAAGTCATAACGTAAATGTTTATATAAAATTTGATTAGTAATAGCAAATAAAAGTTCGCAAATTAAAAATTTGCTTGGAGATCTTTTAATTATCGTCAGAATTTATAATTACGGAAAAAAGGTGCATGAAATACAAAACAAATATAAAATATGTATAAAAAATCATATGTCGCTTAACATGGATACAAAAAATGCTTATTACCGAGAACATGTTTGCGCTCATTAATCGTGCAGTTTATAGTAATATGATAAAGAGGGTGTGTACTTCGAAGTTTGTTTTAAAATATCCTCGAGGCGTACCAGAGACTGAGAAATGAAATAGGCGGAGGGGGTTATTCTAGAGGATGAGGTAAGCAATTAAGCATCGCCATCAGCCGTTGTGTCTCGTTGTTTGTCTTCGAGGTGCCCATCAACTGCCCTCTATCTTCTTGGCCCCTTGGTGCCGCGAATTATCTGCGCCCCTGATTTATTCATCATTCCAAGACGCAAGTGCCGCCTTCGCCCTTTTTTCCTTTGCTTTTTATTTCGGCCAACTAATTTGGCTGGAGTGAAATGTTCACTTTCCTGACATTTAATAATAAACCGCCGACGATACCGTTTGATTCATAATTAATTGTTTCGATCTTTTAACCTTTAAGAAATATTCTGTGGAAAATTTATGAGATCTGCTGTCTAATTAATTAATACTTGACAACGAGATACACATATTTCGACAAAGCGGAATCTATTTTATTTTAGCATCAGCATCAACTTGCGGAACTCAATAAAAAACAATTGGAGCAAGCGATGCAGCAACTGCAAGAACAGTTGCAGCTGAATTTATTTCAACAGACGCATTTATTGCAAACGGCAGACAAGAAGAAGGCATCGGCGCCTCTCCAACAACTAGCGATTCAGCAGCAGCAGTTGATACAACAATTGCAAATAACACAGAGGCAATATCTATTGCAACAAGGGCTGAGCCTTCAAGGCCACAATCCTTCTTCAGGTATTTATATACTGAAATCAAAATGCTTGATTAAAGATTTTCGGATATTTAGTAGCCAAACAGATTTAAGTGTTACTAATATTGATAGAGAATTTTGCAAATATATGAGATGATTACAATAAAAATATAATGTATTAAAAATTATAAACATTCCTTAAGAATTTTTGTAATATTGATAATTATATTATTATTTTATTACATCTTGATCAGTTGTATTGAATAAAATTATAAGAAATATCATACATAATATGATGCATTTAGAGCTAATGTAAAATAATTTGTAAATTTCTTCTATTACGAAATTCTATCTTAATAAAATATTATGAATCTGGATAGTTTATATATATGAAATGCGAAGAATTATTCTAAAGAGCTGGTTTAAGATTTTTTCTTATTTTTTCATTAAGGGAAGATATTTACACATTACAAAAACATGAACAATTTTGTTAGAAATAATACTCATTGATAATTGTTTTAATATCTTGCACATATACTCACACTCAGCGTCAGTATATATCTCACAATCAATCATGAGGAAGGTAATGTTTCTAACACATGCTCACGTTCGTGATAAAGGGATTATGCAAACGCATATATTTAGATCGCGTTGTTACGCTTTTATATATTCTAACACGGATGCATCATTCAAACATAGAAGAATTCGCGTAAGCATCACAAAGACGGTCGGTCACATGTCACAACAAAACACACGCATGTATTTGCAGCGACGTATAACACGCTACCGTAGGAGTCACGTGTGATCGGCAGCACGTGTGCAAAGACGAATTCGAAGGTAAGCTCTGATGTTGGAGGCATCTCCTTGGTTTAAACTAAAACAATCCAATATTCTATCAAACCCTTTTGAGCCTATACGCATCTCTTTATCTCTTCCTCCCCTTTTCTGTCTTGATATCTCTCAGTTCCCACTTCCTCTCTTTTGCTTCCACACATTCTCACTGTCTCCCTTTCTTGCTTTCCATTTCACCCTGGGCAAAGCTTTCCACGTAGAAGTGTTTCGATTACGTCGGTACTCGCTCCGGCGATGTTTTTCTTTCTAACGGGTGTATATGTACATGTATATACACATTGTATATAAGTAAAATGTAGGAAGAACCGTTTGTGAAATAGCAGCCGTGATATGCCACGGTTACTTCGAAAATTCGATAGTTCACGTGTGAAACAAACTTGCCCACCATCCTTGACTCTTATTCCATTTGATCGCTTTGTCTCGTTTCTGTTTTCTTCATCTCTCAAATATAACTATCTGTTCGTTTAATCTCACCGCTCCATTTCGCATGTCCGTATTCTTATATTCCTCGTATGCCTCCTCGTCTGGCGCGTAGCTTCGTTTCTCGTCCGCACGCATGTTTGCTTCACACGTGACTGCTTCGAGATACGCGCCAAACATCATTATGCTATAAATATTATTTTTATACTCATTTAGATATCTATAACGTATGGCGTTGTTTAAACCAAAAGCCATAATCTGAGATAATATTATTATATTATATTTCTAAGAAATCAAATTTTCTTATAAAACAGATTTTGATAATAGAAATATTTCCGCATAAGTTACACTAAAAAAAAAAAAAAAAAAAAAAAACGTTGTTTAATTTTNNNAAAAAAAAAAAAACGTTGATTAATCTTTTTAATTAATCAATTTTTCAAATATATTTTTTTTTTAATTTCAAGCAGGTTTGCCACCAAATGATAATCTATCGTCATGGAAATCAGAGCCGTCGGATACCCCGGAATCCCACCAAAATTCCAATGTGCCGAAATCCAACTCCGGATTGAATGGTAAAACAATAAGTTCACGCTTCTCAGTCGGTCTCAATTTCGCTCATTTTTGTACTCCAATTTCTCCTTGTTTATATGTTTTATTTTTGCGAATGCGACGTTCGTTTGCCGAACTATCGCAGGCATTCTGAATTCGATAGCTTCGAGCCGGCGATCCGAGGTGAATGGCACAACGCCAATGGATGAAAAACCGCTGGACGCCTCCTGCAACGATAAAGTTCACCCCCTCTATGGCCATGGGGTTTGCAAGTGGCCAGGCTGTGAAGTAATTTGTGAAGACTATCAAGCATTCCTTAAGTGAGTTTTACTAACCAATTTTTCATATATGATCTGTTTTAATTGTATTTCTGACATTTAAAAATCATACACCGTTGTCCAAATATTTTGCTCGTAAATCTTATGCGAATTCGATTTTTAGTCTGACTAGTTTGCAACAAATCTTTATCAGCGCAATATTAACATATTTCTCATTAATAAATAAATTTACGAAGAAATTTATCGTAATTTATATTTAAATCAATGAAACGGAAACATTTACCATTTGTGTTAAATCAAGTCAGAATCTTTCTCGTCCCTGATTTGATATATTTTAGCGAGGCAAACTGTTTCCAAGCAAACAGGTAAATGCATGGAAGAAGCTCAGTGCTTTGAATATAAAAGACTGAAGAAGCGGGAGGAATAAAGTCAGCAATTAAATTGGGAAGGATGGGGTAAAGAAAGTGTAGAAAAATCGCTCGTGTCAGCGTATCTCATTGACATCAGACGCTTTCGCCCATCGGCTTCGAGCTTCGCAACCGCAAGCTCCATCCGTGGTTCCATCCCGCCGAGGGATCTTTCGTAATCACGTAGTTCGTCGGTGCAAACTCCCTCAAACAAGCCGTTACTTAAAAAAAAAAAACGCTAATTACCTTTGTCTCATTAATATTCACGACATTCGACCGCATCGTTATGCCCCTCAGTCTAATCCCTTTCTGCCTCCCTCCCTCCCCCTCCCTCTTCCGCCAGTTCGTCCGTTCAAGCTCCCTCGACCTTCCCACATCTTCGTTCTTAACCGACCAACCCACTCCTCACCATTCTCCTCACCCTCGTCGATACAGCCGTCCGTTTCGTCGACGAAGAAGGATTACGGAAATTCTTAAATACGGAATCTTGTTGGCGGTGTTGGCACCCCCATTCCTGTCCCTACGACGCGGCGAAGCTTAATTTTCTGTCCTGCCGTCTCCTGGGGCGGTGAGGGAACGGGTCTCTTGTGGCTGGAGAATGGAAGCGTTACGTGTCCGGGATTTTTCGTGGCTTTCTGACGGAAGAATTTGTTCTCAGCTCTTGCAAGATAATTGCGTGGCTATATCTTCATTGCTTTTTCGCGGTTTTCTCGATAAACATAAGCTGCTATAAGAATATCATATAATTTTCAATCAAATATCCCAAAATTAAATCGTATTAAAGATTATTCAAATTTTTATATACCCGACACGAGATGAGAAATAGATTATGTTAAAATATAATATAACTTGAAATAAAATATGTATGAAATATAAATGTAACGATACTTAATTTAATTTATTTATTTTAATTCAATTTTATATATGGTTTTATCGCGGTCGTGTCTCTTTTATCATTTAATCCAATTTAACAGGAAGGTTGATAGATGATCACGATGTTTAAATATGTATTATAAGCATTTTATATTTGCTTCCTTAGTTCTTTCTTAGTATATATCTAATATTGTGGTATTTATGATTGCATCCATTTTAAAACTGCAACGTATTGAATACTAACAATAAGTTGTAATTGATCGTGAAATATTGCAGACACTTAAATACAGAACACACGTTGGACGACCGATCGACAGCGCAAGCCAGGGTTCAGATGCAAGTAGTATCACAGCTAGAAATTCAATTGCAAAAAGAACGAGATCGATTAGGCGCTATGATGCATCACCTGCATATGGCGAAACAGATGGCTTCTCCGGAACCACCAAAATCATCTGAATCATCGGTAAGTTTTTTCTTTATAGTGTAATCTTATAATCATAATTCAATACATTTTTCTTCATTTATAATTATTTATTACAACAATGAATAAATGTACAATAATAACTAGAACGCCAATTTCTTCTGCAACAATTTAAATTTTTACGAAAACATATTTGAAATTGAAATATAATAGATTTTTCTCTAGAGAGAGACAAATATTCAATGTTTTCGATTTATTATTAACTGTCAAAATTAATGCGATTTTATTCCGAATATTGCAAATATCAAAAATTTCAAAATATTGTTAATAATTTGTAAATTGATGTTATATATTTTTATAGACTTCTTACACAAAATTTTTAAAAATAAATTAATTGTCTTTGAGAGCTGTAATAATCTTGTTATTTATTTTACCGTGAATTTAAAAATCAATTATTATAACATTATGATATTTAAAACAACACAAAGTTTCCATTTTGCAAGCTGCAATTATAATATACTTAAGGGTACGCTTTAGAATGGATATTGAAAGCCAAATCCGGAAAAACGATCCGGCTGCGACGCGTAAACTTTCCCGGCTGTGGCACCACTACAAGATCGTAAAGCCAAATTTTCACGACAGACCAGCTCGTTGGAAGATTTTACGATCTCCTCGCGGGCCCGCTAACAACAACGCGAGTTTCAGTTTTAACGCGCCGCCGAGTCGAGTGCTAATTTATACATAAAGTTTGCATTAATAATTCATCGGAGCCGCGGTGATTTTATATCGCCTTAATTAAAACCCCTAACAAGTTGGGCAGTCGGAGAATACCAATATCGCATTAGCCCTCCGCCAGCGACAACGCCCGACGGTCGACGGTTTAATTATTTTAACGCGGCTGTGTGAGTGATAGCATTACGAAGATCGGATTGCTCGTACAGTTCATATACATCGTAAAGTTTGTACATCATTGCGATATGTAATAAGATATTCGTATTGCATTGCGTAACGCTTCGTAACGGACATATATATTATCGTGAAATTAATAAAAAAAGATTTTTAAAGATTTTATTCTTTTAATTAATAATTATTCTTAACTTAACGCGTATAATTGAACGAAGGATCAAATTATCTTACTCATTATAATACTGAGGAGATATCCAAACGATATCTGTAAACCCTCAAATCGATTAAAATTCCATACATTACTTATATTTACATTATCGCTGTCCTCTGCTTTGTTTTTTATTTTATAAACTTTGTTTCAGACGGGCTCGAATTTACCAAAGCTGAATTTTTCCACTGCGCTGATGAGTCAGCCGCCACCTAACTTCGGGGTCTCTCAGGTATCACCGGTGTCCATGTCCGCTCTGGTGTCCGCCGTGAGGTCACCTGGCGGTGGTCAACTACCCCCATCGGCTGGTGGTGCTCCGATACCGCCACTTCCGACCATACCTAACATGTCCGGTTTACCGCCGATGCCTAATATGCCCGGCAGCATGCCAAGCATGGCTGGTCCTATTAGACGGCGCATCAGCGACAAATCAGCTCTTTCTTTGGCAGGAGGTAAGGTCGTCTTTCCATCTCTTAATCTTTAACGATGTCGTCTAACGATAAGAGGTGAGATTAGAGATAGAGTCTGCGAATAATTAGGCATAATAGGGATCAGAATCGCATATTTTGCGTTACCAACGTCAATTTTGTTGTACCGAAATCAATTTTGCAAAAGCTCTTCCGTTTTACCTGTTTCAAGGAAAATGGTTGATTAAAAATTATTTCTTTTTATTAACGAGAAGATAAAATTTATATTTATATTTGCACACATAGTATGCTGAAATATTAACACAATATATAGTATGATTCATTAGCCGCTTATGATTAGTAATAAAGATTGATATAAAGCTTTAAAAAAAATGCGTATTTTGAAAAAAATGAGTTTTTCTAATGTTTTATTAATCAAACTTTCAAATTCAACTATGTAATATATTGAGGGAGACAGATATATAATATCACACTTTTGTTTGCTCTGAATATTCTCTGTCAAATAACGTTGTTTAATTAATTATTAAAATTATTAATTATTAAAATTAATTTAATATAATATATGTTTACAATATATGTTTACGAGGTATATTTATATATATACACAGTTATATTGCTTATTAATTAGAATTTAGTGAAATCAATATATTTTTAATTAAATGTTTTTTTTTTTTAATCTAACGTTTTGTTGTATGGTTCATATTTTGTTTATTTATAGGTACGTATTATATGTACTATAATACAATGTCATATTATATACTATAATACAATGCAAATAATTTCTAGTTAAAATATTTTTGACATCACCATTTTCCGAACATATAGCTTTATATTTGAAATGCATACAAAAAAGCCTTGGAAGTGGATTAATATTGTCTCAAAGAAAGGTGAAACGAAAGAAATGACAATTCAGAAATTGAATACTATTCGTAGGACTGTATGACGAGGGCATTGTAAGGCGCAGAGTATCCGTCGATAGATCTGGATTAGATATTAACGAAGGTAACGATAACACAAGATCATATTCGGAGTGATGCGATCTTCGAAATACCATCTCATGAAAAATTTTTAATTCGTAATATATAAAACTCTTATTAAATTATTAATAAGAGAAATTATATTTTTTTTTAAATACATTATACAAACATATGTTTAGCAGACAAAGATTATATTGCTATGACATCTAAACGTATAAATAATTAATAAGTATTATTAAATCGAGAAAAAAGCATGAAAAATAAAAAGAAGAATACGATATTAAATGTTGAAAACATTGTCTAATTTTTCTTAATTGCTTCTCGTGTAAATAATATAATTGTATGAGAAATGTACGAGATCTTTTAATTCTACGTATAATAAGTTAATTACATGAATTATCTACTTTTGGTATTTCGAGGTTCGTTGCAGAGATTCATTCTCACTCCGACGAAATAAAATGAAAAATACCGATCCTGTAGCAAGTGCTCTTTACGGTCCTCTCTTGATCTCGTGCCTTTTCCTGTCGTAAATTGTACCACACGCACAGATTACTTATGGTAGCGACTGTGTCACGTGATGCGACAGTGTTCGACACCTTGTTGGCCATGTAGGATGAGTATAGGTGTAGAGAGAGATGCAAGGAATTTTATGCGATGAGAAAAATGAGATAAGATGAAAAATAAATTCTTACATCCGCCAGTTTGAACCTCTTTCTTATCGATGCTTTTGTTGTTTCCTTATTTCTTGTGCTGCCCGCCCTCCCCACCGTGTAGGGCTGCCCTACATGCTGGAGCGTGCTGGCCTTGACGTCCAACAAGGTACTGTCAACCTACTTTCCACGCTCCCTCTTTTGTGGCTTAAAGATTTTCTTGTGGGAGGATGTGCACCCTGCATGAGAGCTCATTTCCCTCCTTTATCTTCATCTTCGTATCTTCGTAGCACTGCATTTTTCTAATTTTGCTGATAATTCCTAAGACAATTGAGATTGTGAATATTCCAAAATCCCATGCAAATATTTGGGACTGAATAAATTGATTGATCATACTTCATAATTTTTAAATTGCTTTTTTTACGCGCGAAAAAGGCGATCTATATGTTTACAGTATTTTTATTTCTAGCAAATATATGCATGCATGTTTTATTATTGATGCAAATTTTAATACAAAAATAGAAATTAATATTATAATACATATTCAATTAACGATCATTAATGAAATAGTTCCATATTGAAAAAATTATGGGGAACTTTAATTTGGATTGCCTCTTTCTGACATTATGTAAAACTTTTTTTCTTGCAAAAGCATGCATTTATAGATATACTTTTACAATCCCGAAAATTATTATTATTTTATAAAAATGTCTTATTTTTTATTAACATCGGTATACTTTACGTACAATTTTAAATTGATTTGTGATCATTATTTTAGATTTTTTTAAGAAATCCATTGCTAAAAAAGTTTAAAATTGTTTTGAGCAAAATAATTTAGTGCAAAAAATAAATGAGACGAGATTTTTATATTTTATATGATCGGCACAACGGCTTTGCTTGTTTGTTATGATTCCATTGTTTACACCTTTTTGTGTAAAGAAATAATCATGATATAATTACTTGTTATCGATAATAAGAATATTAGAGCTCCCTTTTACCACAAATTTTAATAATATATAGGGTAAATGAAATTTGTTGCGTCCGGTTTCAGAAATTCAACGAAATAGGGAATTCTACAAGAATGCAGATGTCAGACCACCATTCACGTATGCATCCTTAATTCGGCAGGTGAGTGGTTAATAAAATTACCAAAGGATCCTCCGGATATCACATTTTCTCATCACATTGTATTAACATTATTGGAATTATTGCGGGATTTCCTCTATCAACATAAAATAAATGCACCGTATTATTATCATTATTTCAATAATTTCTTAAATACATAAAGAATTATTTTCCAGTTTTTTTATTGTAAACATAACATTAAATATTATTATAGTTTAATAAGGTTTTATGTTAAAAATCATTATGCTTCGTAATTATCTAGATGCGATATAAAATGTATTTTATTATTTAGCATATTTGATTTATCACATATTTTATTAGAAAATTATAATATTTTTTCAAATTATTATATAACATCGAAATGCAAAAGCGAAAATTTTATTGATGGAACGGTATTGCATACATAAGAAATTCTTATTTGTAATTTTATTTAAATACTTTGATTGTGAAATTTGCTTTAAATAAAAATCGAAAAAGTTGATATAATTCTAATATTGCTCTTTTCATAGTCCATCATTGAATCTCCCGAGAAGCAGCTGACGCTCAATGAAATTTACAACTGGTTCCAAAATACATTCTGCTACTTCCGGCGCAACGCAGCAACGTGGAAGGTATATCTTATAATTTTAATAATTTAATTACAATTGTCTTAAAATGAAAAAAATGATAAGCAGATGAATAATAATTTTTAATTTGATGATGAAGATATTTAAAATATATTTTTTTTTTATTTTTTCATTTTTACAATTATTTATTTATACAAGATATAAAATATCTCAGTAAAAATTCTTTTTTTTGTAGCAGTTTTAATATATATTTTCCATTAAAAACACCGCGATATATATATGTTAAATGTAATCCTTTAATAGCGACAAAGTGGAAATAACTCTTCTTTAACTGGCTGCATTTAATGTGAATCTACTTGTGCAAAGGGAGTCGCAAGAATAAAATAATTTACATTTACGAGCTGGTTAAGCTGAATACGCTTAACTAGAAAGGGTACGAACTTTCGAAAATCTCGGATAATTATATGTATTGATTTGAATTAACAGGCTAAGTGACGTACCGGACAGAGCAGTTGGTAATGATAGTTGTGTTGCTTTCTTGAATAGGAAGAAGAACTGGTAACATGTGAAATATGACATATTATGAGTCATTATGAGCCATCTATCATTATATTCTTCCCTATTTTTTTTTATTCACAGACCACTCGATAGCACATCGCGTGTCAGAATAATAGTATCCATTTAAATTATGCATTTAAATTAAGAGTAAAAATTACTGCAATTATTGCATTAATAATATATATTTTTATAGACATATATTGTCAATTTATTTCATTCTTAGAAATAAATCTGCTATTAATGTAATTTGGAAAAAAATGCATATAAAATATATAAAATGCTCGTAGAATTAATGTTTTTGCATCTGTAAAAACATATTAAATAATAGCATGACATATTAAATAATAGTAAATGTGCTTACTAAATATTTCATGAATTGTTTAATTTTGAATTATATGATAGAAAAAACATAGTTCGAAAATATTTATAGTGATGATACATTTATCACCACTTTTATCAATATATAATTATTTGCTCAATCGAAAACGTCGACTAAACGTCGCAGATCAATAATCAAAATTCCACATCACTTTTCGGGAAAACAACGGAATATAACGTGCCGATGGTTCATAATTGATTCGTAAGCCGACGTGACAATTCGCTTGTTGGCAAGAATATTTGCGCGCGTGCGTTTTTCTTTGCGTGTGTGCGAGTGCGCGTGAAAGTAATCGACGTTTGCCATGACGCTTCGCCTCGCATGGTTATGTGTACATGAAGACATAAAGACGCAAAAACAGGTTTACCAGGTGGAGAGCAGAGCAGAGTTTAGAGCGAGACCTACACACTGAAGACGATGTCTTGGCGGCTAATACGTCAGCGGGCAGCCCTGTTAATTTTATTCGGCCCTGCGGCATGAATAATTGTTGTCGTTGCCCCTAGATTTAGATGACTAGCTGTGCATTAACGATAAAGGAATGCCACAAATCGTATCTCTTTCGATTCATCATTTTGGTTCGTTATATCCTCTTGCGGGCTTCAACGTCGCGATCTCATTGCCAATTTCCTTTTGTGCTAACAGCGCTCATCATCATCATTGACATCATCATCATCATCGTCATTGTTTTTATTCTTAGCGGATATCGCGTTATAGTTATTATTGATTATCGGTTAATTAGACTTTCTGTATTTATTGTATTATTGTTTTTTTTTTATTTTTTCATTTTTACAATTATTTATTTATACAAGATATAAAATATCTCAGTAAAAATTATTTTTTTTGTAGCAGTTTTAATATATATTTTCCATTAAAAACACCGCGATATATATATGTTAAATGTAATCCTTTAATAGCGACAAAGTGGAAATAACTCTTCTTTAACTGGCTGCATTTAATGTGAATCTACTTGTGCAAAGGGAGTCGCAAGAATAAAATAATTTACATTTACGAGCTGGTTAAGCTGAATACGCTTAACTAGAAAGGGTACGAACTTTCGAAAATCTCGGATAATTATATGTATTGATTTGAATTAACAGGCTAAGTGACGTACCGGACAGAGCAGTTGGTAATGATAGTTGTGTTGCTTTCTTGAATAGGAAGAAGAACTGGTAACATGTGAAATATGACATATTATGAGTCATTATGAGCCATCTATCATTATATTCTTCCCTATTTTTTTTTATTCACAGACCACTCGATAGCACATCGCGTGTCAGAATAATAGTATCCATTTAAATTATGCATTTAAATTAAGAGTAAAAATTACTGCAATTATTGCATTAATAATATATATTTTTATAGACATATATTGTCAATTTATTTCATTCTTAGAAATAAATCTGCTATTAATGTAATTTGGAAAAAAATGCATATAAAATATATAAAATGCTCGTAGAATTAATGTTTTTGCATCTGTAAAAACATATTAAATAATAGCATGACATATTAAATAATAGTAAATGTGCTTACTAAATATTTCATGAATTGTTTAATTTTGAATTATATGATAGAAAAAACATAGTTCGAAAATATTTATAGCGATGATACATTTATCACCACTTTTATCAATATATAATTATTTGCTCAATCGAAAACGTCGACTAAACGTCGCAGATCAATAATCAAAATTCCACATCACTTTTCGGGAAAACAACGGAATATAACGTGCCGATGGTTCATAATTGATTCGTAAGCCGACGTGACAATTCGCTTGTTGGCAAGAATATTTGCGCGCGTGCGTTTTTCTTTGCGTGTGTGCGAGTGCGCGTGAAAGTAATCGACGTTTGCCATGACGCTTCGCCTCGCATGGTTATGTGTACATGAAGACATAAAGACGCAAAAACAGGTTTACCAGGTGGAGAGCAGAGCAGAGTTTAGAGCGAGACCTACACACTGAAGACGATGTCTTGGCGGCTAATACGTCAGCGGGCAGCCCTGTTAATTTTATTCGGCCCTGCGGCATGAATAATTGTTGTCGTTGCCCCTAGATTTAGATGACTAGCTGTGCATTAACGATAAAGGAATGCCACAAATCGTATCTCTTTCGATTCATCATTTTGGTTCGTTATATCCTCTTGCGGGCTTCAACGTCGCGATCTCATTGCCAATTTCCTTTTGTGCTAACAGCGCTCATCATCATCATTGACATCATCATCATCATCGTCATTGTTTTTATTCTTAGCGGATATCGCGTTATAGTTATTATTGATTATCGGTTAATTAGACTTTCTGTATTTATTGTATTATTGTTTTATGTATGTCACACGCATAGCAGATTTCCTCTTTGGCTGCCACCTTGAAAAAATACCCGAGTCTTCTGAAATAATAAAACTAGTGGTGCTGATTTTAAATAACAGCCTTTATAGATAGATAAATAAAATGCAAATACTATTACACTTATGTAGTGATATGCATTGCTTATTTTATTTATATATTAGTTGTATCTTTTTTTTTTATTTGCTTAGTGCTGCTATTTACATCCTGAGAAAGAATTTTTTTAATAATACTACCATGAATATTTATTAAGTTGCGTATTATTTGTGGAAAAAGCTATATGCAATGCTATTCCGAAGAAAGTAAAGCAGATGTAGCAGCATTTAAGTTTGCCACGCAAATCTTAGTTTAAGGTGGCAGCTTTGCTTACATTCCTCAAGGGTGCTGAGTGGTCATTGCATCCATCTTTGAAGACAAAAAGAGACAACTATTAAATTAATTTTTATATTACAAAAAAATGAAAATAGAAAATTATTCTTGAATAACCGATTGTACAATATAAATGAAAGCATCTTACTTATAAGCAAAATAGAGAAACGATTTTTAAAAGAATATTTTTTGTCTCTCTCTCTCTCTCTAATATATCTTATTTCTTAAATATAAATATGATATATAATTTATTTATCGTGAAAGTAATCGACGTTTGCCATGACGCTTCGCCTCGCATGGTTATGTGTACATGAAGACATAAAGACGCAAAAACAGGTTTACCAGGTGGAGAGCAGAGCAGAGTTTAGAGCGAGACCTACACACTGAAGACGATGTCTTGGCGGCTAATACGTCAGCGGGCAGCCCTGTTAATTTTATTCGGCCCTGCGGCATGAATAATTGTTGTCGTTGCCCCTAGATTTAGATGACTAGCTGTGCATTAACGATAAAGGAATGCCACAAATCGTATCTCTTTCGATTCATCATTTTGGTTCGTTATATCCTCTTGCGGGCTTCAACGTCGCGATCTCATTGCCAATTTCCTTTTGTGCTAACAGCGCTCATCATCATCATTGACATCATCATCATCATCGTCATTGTTTTTATTCTTAGCGGATATCGCGTTATAGTTATTATTGATTATCGGTTAATTAGACTTTCTGTATTTATTGTATTATTGTTTTATGTATGTCACACGCATAGCAGATTTCCTCTTTGGCTGCCACCTGAAAAAATACCCGAGTCTTCTGAAATAATAAAACTAGTGGTGCTGATTTTAAATAACAGCCTTTATAGATAGATAAATAAAATGCAAATACTATTACACTTATGTAGTGATATGCATTGCTTATTTTATTTATATATTAGTTGTATCTTTTTTTTTTATTTGCTTAGTGCTGCTATTTACATCCTGAGAAAGAATTTTTTTAATAATACTACCATGAATATTTATTAAGTTGCGTATTATTTGTGGAAAAAGCTATATGCAATGCTATTCCGAAGAAAGTAAAGCAGATGTAGCAGCATTTAAGTTTGCCACGCAAATCTTAGTTTAAGGTGGCAGCTTTGCTTACATTCCTCAAGGGTGCTGAGTGGTCATTGCATCCATCTTTGAAGACAAAAAGAGACAACTATTAAATTAATTTTTATATTACAAAAAAATGAAAATAGAAAATTATTCTTAAATAACCGATTGTACAATATAAATGAAAGCATCTTACTTATAAACAAAATAGAAAAACGATTTTTAAAAGAATATTTTTTTGTCTCTCTCTCTCTCTAATATATCTTATTTCTTAAATATAAATATGATATATAATTTATTTATACAAAATCGTTTATAAATATATCTTAAACATATATTTTTGACACATCCTCAAAGGTGGTTGTCATGAGTTCTTAAGAACAGCGTTGTGTTGAATAGATCTTCTTAAATCATTATCTATAAAGATTTTAATCGCAATTTAAAGGAGGAATATAAGATATAGAATATAGATCAAGATTATAAAACTAAAAACTATTACTTTCTGGGAAAAAATAAAATTTTATCATTTTTTATTATACTTTAATATAGTGGATAAATAAATTTTATCAGTTAGATATTAAAAAATACGGTATGTTGGTATTTTTATTGATAACACAAAAGTTATATTTTTATATATATTTTATTAATTTTATCTTTATTATATTTAATATAAATTTTGTGCGGACAGATATTAATTTTTAAGATATTAAAATACTATAATATGCAGAAAATATTAAAAGATTTATCTTAATCAAAATTCATCACACATTACATACCCACATAAAGTATTTATTTTGCGCTCGAGCACTCGACGAGATCATTCGCAACGCTGCTCGTTGACACCTTGGCACCTTGACAAATCATACGGCACACGCACAATATCGCACGTTCTCACTTAGCGACTTTACCTCGCGTCTCGGTCTCACGATCATCATCCATCCTTGCCTCATCAGCATGGCCGGTCATCGTCATCCGATGTCGAGGACTCTCCATCACCTGCGTAACATACAAAGCCATCATACACGCATACGCGCTCCACGATCCGTCACGAACGGCCGTGATCCTTATATATCCCCTCTTCCCCCCCGCCGACTACCGGGGCCGTGATTGAGTTGGCTTCGTTCGTTTTTTGCGTTGCTTATTTAGTCTGTGTATTATTTTGTATAGAACGCAGTGCGACACAACCTGTCTCTCCACAAATGTTTCATGCGAGTCGAAAACGTGAAAGGGGCCGTATGGACGGTGGACGAAGTGGAGTTTTACAAGAGACGGCCACAGCGCGCTTGCAGCACGACCGGGTACGTTGCCCCTCCCCATGCTCCATCGATCAGAAAAAATATAATTACAATCGCGCTTTTTACTCTCTTTATATATTCTCTCTCTCTCTCTCTCTCTCTCTCTTTCTATCTCTATTACACCAATATCTCTTACCATTTTTGGAGACCGACGGACTGAAACCCACCCTTTCTCTTTCCCCGATATATCGAAGGAATAGTAGTTTCTTTCAGATTACAAATTTCCTTACGATTTCACTATCTCCCACATCTTCCTTTTATATTACTCTCTGTCTCTATCTATTTCTGCCTTTTTACATATACTTATATATATATATACTCACTTATTCGCTTTTACTCTTATATTTATAGTCGTGTCGCCAACCCCCTGCCCCTTATACTGCCCTCCCATTTTTCTACAATTTTATATCATATTTATATAACTTTTTACATACTTTTTACATATTTTTATATCGATATTTATACATATACATATGTTTATATATATACATTAAGAGTATTTAATATTTTATCTTATATACATATAGCTCTTTTTATATATATATGTGTATTTTTAATATATATCTGTTTTATATATATTATATATATTTATATATGCGATTTGAAGGTGGACGCACATTCAGTGCGTTTGTGGCCTTCGTATGTATGTATACGCACATACACGCACGCTCTCCTGTGCATTTCTCTCTCTATCTCTCTTTTTTTAAACATAAGATATATTTAATCGCCTTCTCACGATATTCTACGTCGTGTTCCCTGTTTTACATCTCTCTTCATAGTATATACTGTACCTGTTTGTACTTGATACGTGCGCATTCATACGTATTGATCTGTGTGTGTATAAACCTTTTTACACACCTAAACGCCATAACAATCTTTAATGTACATCGCTTATGTCGTCTGTCTGTTTGCTGCTAATATTCGTAGTTTCTCGAGGTGTCGTGCTTCTATAATCAATAAATAATCATATACTATCATTTACTACAAAATTATTTTTAAAATGTCAGTTTATATTATGGCATTAATTTGCTTATTATATCTCTGAATTTTATTTTAATCAAATAGTGATAGATGGAAAATCTATATTTTTGTAAATAAAATTATCTACGTTTATATATATTTTGATTAATACTCGAGAAACTATCACTGTGTTTGAACCCGCGTGTGTGTGAATTTCTTACTTGCCCGTCGTCGTGTGATGGTAGTCGGCAGTCTGATGGGTGCGTGGATGTGCGTGAGAGTGCGTCGCCGATGAAAGAGCCGCAACAGATGAAAGGGAAAAAAAGAAAGGAAAGATAGGAAGAGAGTTTAGAGATGCTAATCTCGTTCTCGGATATGGGAATCCGTAGTATGTCGTGTGTGCTTTTATAACGAGCATGTGAGCTTTGCAGCGACTAACCCGATCGAGAACGGCAGGGCCAAGTATCTGGTCCAAGTCTAGTCTCGAAAGCCCGGAAGCCCGGAAGCGGAATTGCCCGGAACAGAGTGAGAACCGCAGTGTTGCACTTTGTCAGGTAGTGAGAGGAGCTGCCTTACTACATTATTACTACGTCTCTGTTTTTATTTTCTTTGATTTATCCATCCCTTCTTTGCGAATCTGTGCTGCTGTTTGTTCTTTCTAAAAGTCGACTCGAGATCATGCCGAGATCACTCACACGTGTCCCGGTAACACGATAGAGCGATGGAGTTGTCGGCGCGAAAGACGTGCCGGCGTTAATTGATGTGTCCAGACCCCGTCTGAACACGACGGCAAGAGCGATAACCGGGGCACGCGCGCATACGTGAGGCCCCCTTTCTGTTACAAAGGATAGTGAATGGCGATGGGGGTCGAGCGCAAATTTAAGAAAGAAAGAAAATGTGCGCGCAATCAACTACAAAAAAAAAAAAAAAAAAAAAAAAAAAAAAAAAAAAAAAAACAACCAGAAACCTTGTCTTTTTTACTCTCTTTTTCTCTATTTCTTGGTGGTCTTGTCTGTGTATACAGAACGCGATCCGCACCAATCTATCATTGCACAAGTGTTTTGTGCGCTATGAGGACGACTTTGGGTCATTCTGGATGGTGGACGACGCCGAGTTCGTAAAGCGGCGGCATCTGTCCCGCGGCCGCCCCAGGAAATATGACCCAACCCCATCACCCACTCCACCCCACCTCTCCGCACAGTAAGCACTACCACTTTTTAGAATTCTGCTGGCTGGCTGGCGCGACGTTCTGACCTTACCGCGGTACTTTTTTATGAACGCAACGACCGAGACGTTTTCGCTTGGTCGTTGTCTATAAATTGAACCGCTAAATGGGCTTTCCTACCTGCTGCCTTTACAAGTCTTTGCGCACACACTTAATATAAAATTGTGCCTGGTTGCAGCTGTTACGATTGATGTTTCATGTCGACATATCTCTTGAAGCATAAAATAATCCTAAAAAATTTGTTGAAAAGTCATAAAAAAATCTTTGAAGTAAATCTATTCCGTTTTATCATCATTGCTAAATGAAAAAAGTTTCAGCATATATAACGAAAAGAAAACTAAAGTGAACGATACNTATATATATATAATTTGCTTAATATTATTTTAATTTATAAAAATAGATATGTATGTTTTAGTTTAACATTAATGTTTTTTCTTTATAGTAACTTGAATTGTAACACCGTAGTGTTAATGCTTTATGCATTAGGATAATTTCTTAAAAAAATGAGATCTTTATTTCTTAAATTATCTATTATGATGCTAACAGCTGCAATGATAGATGTGATAATTAAATTTATATTTTCGGGATTAGCTGGATTTTATACCCCATCAGACACAAAATATCAATAAATCTTTCTCTCTCTTTTATTTTGGTAATAGAATTTTTTTTATTTTTTTAGATTATATTATGATATTAATTAAAATATTTATTACATCAAGGCAGCAGGAAGTAGCTCTATACAGTTTATCCAATCCCTCTAGAAATGATTTCCGCATTATGCCTGCCTCAAGCGCCTTTAAAGACCGATTCTTGAAAAGATTGAACTAGTATCATACCATTATTACCTTGCTCGTTTATTTGTCAAAAGTGTGCAATGTTGCACCTTTTCGATCACACACACGGACATATATATATGTCTATCCTTAACGATATAAACAGTTGTATAAGTGCGAAAAATATATGAAAAATAAAATTATAGGTATAGTATATTTTATATATATAATTATGTATATATATAGACTTAATTTCTATAAGCTTTTGCTAATTTAACATTTGAGGCATAAAAATTGTAGACAGCAACAATTTAATTTTTATTGAGTTTTAAATGAATTTGAAAACAGAAAAAATTCTTATTTATATAGCTTAACAAGATAGTTGAGGTTGAAAATTTAAAGGCACAAGCGAGATATTTAGTCAAACATTTGCTAACAAAGAATCAGTTTTTTAATTTGGTCAAAAAATTATAATTAGAAGAAAGTATTTTACTTTATTTCTTGTGAAAATCTTGTGCACTTTTGCAAATGACGCTCAAGGTTCATAGGACATTCCCGTATACGTTACTAGTATTGTAGCCTAAAGATTCTTGCACTTCGTGATAGCTTGAATCCTGCACGGTCCTGCAGCACACCAACATCAGGACGATTGGTCAGAGATGCGGGATCTCCAATGTATTAATAGCCGCTTGCATGGATTACCGTGGATCCTTAACATTCGTTTCCCGATGAAACCCTCTAAAACTGTCCCGCCTAGTTCGAGAACACTGCTTATAAACGTATGATGCTTAATGTGACGCTGTTTGTAATATGTATCTCGTGTGAAAGTGATGTGTTTGTGCGGGCAAGCGTTTTTTTGTGTTGAAATTTTGCTCTTCCGTTTCCGTCTTTATTCTATCCTCTCATAATAGCAGAGAATTATTTTTCTCTTCTTTTGTGAGCGTAGAACTGCCATCACGTTAATAGACGTTTGTAATTTCTTACGTTCGTCATTTTTTAAATCGATTTCTACAAAATGTCTCGTAATAGTATGGCAAAGTTTTGTTTCTTCAATTTTTATCGATGCGATTTTCTTTGCAATCCGTTGCAATTCTCAACTAATCCGCTGCTTTAGAATTATATGTTAACGCTTATTAGATGCACGCCCAAAGATTTTTTCAATTTTAACATTTAATTTGCTATAGCTACCTTATTAAAAAGCTTTTTTATGTGATGGTTAATTAATAAGTATATCTAAAAATATATGTGTTAGAAGGCTTTGGACGAAAAAACAATTTCAGCAAATATATAACTAAAATTAGAAAGAAATTCGAAAAAAGTACTCTCTCAAATATAAAATATTCTTATATAAAATGTTTTAATAATTGAATATTAAATATCAAATAGATAAAAAGATAAGACAAATAAAGTTGAGAATTGCAAGATAGATTTTAGCATCTTACATCATGCTTCCGCAATGAACGAATGGTTCTTGATCTGAGTGAATATATATATACGTCAGAGCTATTCGCGCATGTGTAAATTGTGTATACTGTGTGTTATACAACTATGTTCCTCGAGTGGAATTCTTCAACTTCATCATTGCGACTCGTCTTGTATCACAGGTATTATATGGACTCAATAATCTCAGTATAATATTAATAATAATTATAATTCTTCAAATATATTTACTGTTCATCTTTAATACTTTTTAAAATTTTATATATCTATTCTTATTCAAAAAATCTCTTTTTAAATTCTCTCTCTCTCTCTCTCTCTCTCTTTTTCTCTTTCTCTCTCTCTCTCTCTGTCTTTCTCTATCCAAAACTTTTCTCCTTTTTCTATCTCTATCCTCACAATCTCTTTTCTATCTATCTATTCAGCGCTTCATGTTACTTGATAAACGGTCACAGGAAAGATTTTTTCTTATCTTTTTCTTCGCATGCATTTTTAAATCTCTTGGAACAAGATCTCTGACGATGTATACTAAAGCTGGGTATATTTATCCAGTTACTTGACGATAACTACTCACAAGGGACGCTATGAAGAAGGTGTTCTTTTTACAAAATGTCAGAAAAAGAAACCATTAGTCAATGGTCATTTAAAAATTGGATCAAGTATTTTTACTACATGATTTTGCAAGATAACAAAAACGAAAGGTAGACACAGGTAACCTAGTGGCTGTTTATAAGTATATTTGTTTCGAAACCGATATAATGCTAAATTAGAAATGAAAGAAGAGAAAAATCGATACAAGTTAATACATCCAATCATTTATGAAGTTTCGAAACGGGAGCGCTTTTTTAAACACTTTTTCTGTAATTTTTATCTAATCTCACTCAATCACCAATGAGTCGAACTGGTGGGCGAACGATACGAGGCACTGTGTAAATAGGTAAGAGTTTTTGGACTCTATATTTTCGCTCTTTTTTGATCTCTCTTTTTGATATATATTTATATGTATACATTTTTCATATTTGTAATTCTCTTTGTCTCTCTTCTCTTCTACTTTACATCTTTTTCTCTCTTTCTCTATCTATCTCTCTATCTACTTCCTTTTTGTCTTTATACGTCTTACATACTACGACTTCAGTACACGCACAGACACATAGTCACCATATACAGCCTACTTTAATTCCCCCCTCTTTTTCAAATCCGTCTTAACATTGACACAATTAAAAAAACACATACGCGTTTTGTTTCAGGAAATACGCTCATGGCTGAATTTCGAGTAGTATTAACATATTTTTCTCTGTCAATATCTAGGGGTGTCCCGTCGAAGAGTCCAACTCTAACACATAGTCCTACCATGTACGGTGATGCGCTTAATGCCAATCTGCAGGTAACTATTAATAATTAATTTACGTGAAAATTCTCTCTCATACATTTTCACGGTTTGCCTTCTTAATTGAGTGAATTAAAAGGCATTAAAGCAATATCGAGCGCACGTGACTAGGTAAAAATAATATTGCGTAAAAACTATTGACTAGATGACATTTCACGAATTTTCAGCATTCTATCAATACTTTTTAATAAAAATTTTGATAAACTGTATTAATAAAAATGTTATTTTATTGTAGGAATTGATATAATAAACACGTCACTAATTAATAATAAACATTACTAATATCTAAGTGATTAGTATTTTGGTATTAAATCAGTAATAACTAACCATCTAATGCAATTTGAGTATTTTCAGGCGCTCGGGGAGTCTAATATGGGATTTTTGAACAATCCAATGTGCACGTCGACAGCGACAAGTCCCGATAAGGAACATGTGTTACCTCATAATGATTTAATGTAAGTGATATTTATACAAGTGCATCACTCGTTCCTCTCTTTATAATATATTTTATCAAATGTTTTAGAAAGATGTTAGAATCTCCGTAATGATTCTACCGCTTTATAAATACCTATATTTCTACATCTTTGGAACATTATTTCAGCTTATAATAATATTGTGCCAAAATGTGTCTAGAATTTTTTATTTATTCAACATTGTACATTTTTATTCGCGAATATGTTTACGAACGGTTTGTACAATCCATTCTACACGAATCAATTTCTGCACGCGGTGCAGAAATCGTGAAAAAGCCGCTTGTTTTTATGACTCTTTCGCGAAACACAAACTATTCGTTGCAGCTTGACAAACCGCTTGAAACCGCAACAATGAAACAATCCCGGAAAAGCAAAATCCCGGAAAATTATTCTTCCGTCAGCGTGGTAACGCGTGGGGAAAACGTGTCGCTAAAAAAAAAATATCGCTTTGTGTTGCGTCGCGCTTTATGAAATATATACGTCAATACTGGCACGCGGTTTTCCACTCGCAAGTTTTCCACTCATAAGCGTACACAACGCGTTCGCGCGTGTCGTCGATTCAACAGGTCGCCGCTGGATGAACCGGCCATGCACATAAAACAGGAGAGCCAGAGCCCGGAAGGAGGAAAGCACACGAGATTAATAAAGCGCGAGCTACCAGACGGTCCCATGGAGCATGAGACGGAGGAGGATCAGACGGACGATAGAGAATACTCGGAGAGTCACGGCCACGATTCCGGCCAGGACGAGGACATTGCGGAGGACCTATCGATGGCGCCCGACATAATGATCCCGGAGGATCAGGTCGAGGCGTAGTATCATTTTGCCGCGACAACAAACCAGTAGACACGAGATGTATACAAGATGTCCCGTTTATTCGGTCATGAGAGGAGCACTCTACCCTCTTTGGCCAGAGTAGAGTAAAGACGGTAGACAGAGGGAAAATGAATGAGGGAAAGGATGGGAAGCGGAAAATAACGGAAGCAAAGGGTCGAAGAGGATGATGAAGGCCCCCCAGGACCACCCACTCCCTCCACACTTCTCCTTCGTACGAATCCCCCTCAACGTATCATATCTGTACCGCGACGCCCCAATCGCGGCTTTAAGGTAACGAGAAGGAGCCAAGCGCGAATGTATCGAGAAAAGACACTGAACGATGATGAAGGTGACGAGCGTATTACCGGATGATGTAAGCGCGAAAATCTCGGCGATATTCGGGGAGCGATCCTTCGATCCATATCTTTACTCAAGCAATTGCGAACAACGATGTATTTTATTTTCCTCTCGACCTTTTCCGTTCCGGAGCTGCGGTTATATCTCCAATAGACATATACATAAATATATACATATACATATATATATTTTCACTTAAATATTAAGATTAAAAAAATACATAATATCTTTAATTTGAAATGTTACAAATAAATTCTACACTTTCAGGCGAGTTCCTAGAGAAGCTTTTCAGACACATAGGCTTTGTCAGATTAGATAGCGCATCTGTATGGGAAATATTTTATTGGCTGACGCCGGAATTCCTAGTCTTACCCACCGTACTCACCGTATATTTTATATGTCGTTTTCTTACACAAAAACGTATTGTCTTATCAAAAAAAAAAAAAAAATTAAATTATGACGTATTAAAGAACAAGTGATATATATATATATATATATATATATATATCGTGTACATTGCATTAGAAATTAATGTGGCGACAATGGGACACCGCACACAGGACGCGCCTTGCGGTCGGCGCGTTTTTACCGGCGAGCGTCCCCGGGAAATATCCTTCGCCGAAGGAACCGATGTAGCCTCGCGATTATACATTTTGGCAATTATACGTGCCGATATGCGTGAATAAATAAAATTCGAATACGGTCGGCGCCGGCGCCGCAACGTAACAAATCTTTAAACTTTTCTTTGCATTACATGTTACATACAATATAAATTTTTGTTAAATAATTGAGAAAATATTACACATATATGTTATATATGAAAAAGTTTCTCCACGTAATTGAGAAATTAATTACGTATTAATACGATATTTACATCGTATATATCATATTTTTATATTTTAAAAAGTGAGAATGTTTTTATTTTGATTATGTGAATGAATTATAAAACTAATTAAAAAAATAATTTATAAAACTTTATGTGACTCCCTGAGAACATTATACACTGTTTGATGCGAGAGACAATGTGCTACGCTTGTCTATTCAAGAAACCCAGATTTGAATTTTTCGATAAAAAAAAGAAAAGAAAGAATCGCCAGGAAGCATCGCGCGGTTCCATCGGAGAAGTGAGTCGATCAGAGAGTCCGGCGGAATTGAATCTAGGAAATAAATCGATGAAGCCGTGGTGGTGGTGGTGGTGGGTACGTACGGGAGCGACTGAGTTTAGTCTTTAAGTTTAGGCGTTCGTTTTTGACGAACGAAGAGCAATGCTAGTACTGTTCTCGCGACTAAGCGGGTCCTACCGTCTCAAAGAGGCCCAGTATCAGACAAGTTAAACTAAGAATCGCATCCGAGTGACGAGACCGGATGCGTCCCGGCGTACCCGTCCGCTACTGTTGGTAGCACTCTGTATAGTTCTAGCAAAGTTGATCGTAAGTAGTTTCGTATTCATTAAACGGTAATTAACACGCTCGAACACACAGAGACGGTCGAGATATTTGTAAATGAGCGCTACGATACGACACACACGCGCGCGCGACGATCTTTCAAATTACTTTCCGATCGAGCCGGTCAGGTATCCGTGATGCAGAACGATATGATAGATGAACGTAGCTCTGCGAGACGATCGAAGAATGTTACGAACGGGGATAAGTGGGAAGATCGCTAACGCGACGTTTTTATATTTACATACGCGTATTACATTATACGGCAAATAAAATTTCAGATTTTATGCAAACATTAGCAGTCTTTTGTACGATATATTTAACTTTGCCATTTCCATACATAAGGTATAAGATAGACTCAGCACCCCGTGGCGAGATGGTGCTTTTCAAGTTCCAATGCATTGAAAGCTAGTATTTCAACGTTTTGGATAATTGACATAAAATTTCGAACTGTTAGGTATTGTGCGCGTTCAAGAAGATTATATTAGAATTATTAGCACTTCCTTCTGTGATACGTGACGAATATAGTAAGACCTCTATATTTAATTATATATATATATATATATAATTAAGGGACTTATATATATACGTTACAAGTCGTTTTTGGTTGCTAAGTCTATTGTATATCAATATTATCGATCAATTACAGGCAATTAATATGTGCCATACAATATTGAGATATGTATGAAAAAATACTACATAAAAAACGCTAAGGTATCACGTTAATGATCTCCCTACTTCTCTAAACATGAAGTCTATAAATAAAAGTACACTATGTATGCATATATACATATATTAATACGTATACGTATCGAAATTATAAGGAATTAGATGTCGATAATCCTCTCCATCAAACTTTTTTCCCATCCTTGTCCAATCCTAGTCCTACTATATACACATACCAATCGAGGCCAGTAGATTTCTTCTAAAGAGTGCGTGGTCTCGGATCCCAGAAACAAGTATAGAAAGCGCACTCATATCGGTACTAATACTTTGAATTGTTAGAGTCTACCAGTAACACGGACAAATTCAAATCTGTCTTAAAGCATCAGTGTATTTTTTTTGGTCTCCATATATGTTTAACGATAAATGTTTGTCAAACTTAGAAGCTGGTTTAGTTGCCATCGTAAAGCGCCTATATCATCTTTGCACAGTGACTGATGGAGATGGAAAATATAATTATGTATTTTATTAGATCATAACAAGACGGTTATGTGCAATCTGGAAAATTATTGTTTGCACAATTTGGAAAAATAACGCAAAGTTATATTTTGTGCCACAGAATATTTAATTTCAAGTTGAATAGCGTAATATTGCTGCGTTGTCGAATATCGTGACAATTTCTTTTGGACATAAATTTGGAAGAGGATTTTATATATTTCCACGTTTACTTATTATCACATAGTTATTCAATCTTAGTTTCCGTTGTAATTAATGAATATAATTTTATTAAACGTTATTATGTGTATGCGTACACGGCAATAGATATTGATATTTCAATGAAAATACAAATATATAGAGTGTGGAAGTTTATGAACTTTCAAAATGAGTTTATCAAATGCTAAATTAGCGTTATCAGAAAAACAACGCATCCCGGATTATATACAAAATATGGCTCTCAATGTAAAATCTCTTTCTCTCTCTTATAAATTTCTACACTCTATGATATTCGTAAATATTCAATTTTATTACCTTAGATAAATTACCTTGTCTCTGTTTGTCAAGGTAAACAGATGCCATTTCGAGGAAATAAACTATATTGCAGTGCGAATGTACGGATTAGTATTTCTGTAACAATCAAATAAAAATAAGAAGATTGCAATATTATTAATATAATATAAATATTGTGAGTTTTATATTTTTAAATCGACTTTTCAATATTCAAATCGACTAAACTTGTATGTATAGTTCGAGTAAATCTTTTTCATCAGCGATCTGCAATTTCTATTATTAAAATTTTTCACATTTGATATTTCTAATACATATAGAGTAACAAATAGCTTTATTCAGTTTATTGCAAACATTATTTTATCATCTTTAAGACTTTAAATATTTAGGAAACATGTATTTATGTATCAAGAATTTGTATTTATATATCAAAGAGAACTGGCCTTTTTTAATTCAAGTTTTTAATTCTTATCTTTTGAATTTTACATTTTAATTTATTAATATTTACAATCACAATTCATATTATTAAATATTATTATTTGTCAATCAACAATTAAGTTAATATTGCAGAATTGCAAACAGTCTTTTTAGTTTTCAAGTTACAAGTAATTTAAAACTGATTGCGTCCCAGCTTTAATTAACAAAACATACATATCTGCGTTATGAGGCTTGACAAATTTGTCGCTGAATAATTTAAAACACGAAACTATTACATATATTTGTCTTGAATGTAAATCTGCAAGGTTAAGGAATAATTCAATCACATACGCGCGAATAAAAGGAAAGAAATAAAGAAGAAAATGCAAATGCGAGAAAGAATGGGAGTATGTATGTGTATGTGTGCATTTGTATGTAAGAATGCCATAATATATAGCTCGGTAGCATCTCGTTTACCGATAAAACACGCGAGTTTCAGTTTGGGCTCGCTTTCGCGTATGGTACTATTAATAATCTAAGTCTATATGTACTATGAATTAAGAAATTGATACACACACACACACACACACATACTATAGAAGACTCCTCTGTAAATAATTAAACTTATCGAGGCATTAGGAATTTGTGCATATGTTATTCATGGATGGATGATCGTGCCGATATCGCGGCTTGTACGTGCGTATATATATGTATGCTTGTGTGTGTAATTGCATATGTGAATGCACGCGTATATTCCGTATCCCGTCTGCATTTAATTTTGACTCGAGATCACGAAGTTCTCCTCGGGAGATGGAAGACATTTTCTCGTTTTGCCGGGTGAACGTTCGTCACGTCGCGAGAAAGAGCGAACCTGTCAACCGGATAATTAATTAATAATCGGTTAATTGATCGATCATGCGCCGCGTCGCGTGACGTGTCCTGGGCGAATTCCGCGCGAACACGTAGCTGTTTCTATATCTTTTGTATTATAGTGACAATGTTATACACAGATGCTTTATTACTAATGTTTTTTTTTTTTTTGTTATGTTTGTTTGATGAAGGCAAATTGGATTTATTAGATTTACGCGGACATTACGATCGATCATTTCGAGAAGCTTCGAGCGAATCGATTATTTCATTATTTTGCTTACACAATGCTCTAGGAATTATAGCTGTTAATCGCGCGTGCCGCGTAGGATTTTGCAAAATGCTCGAAAATAATTGCTGATAACGAACCGGATAAGCGATCAAGGCTCCTGATGCATTACCTGGACATTTTATTGTTTTGCTCTGATAAAAGCGATGGCGGTTCTGTGCAATTATATCAGATAGATCGAAGCATCCGACATGAACTGTGCCAAATTGATGCGAACGTTTATTTAATAAATGAATCGAGATATAAGCAGATAAAAATCAATCGTATTGAGAGAAGAAAATTTTTCTGAAAGAAGTAAACTTTCTCAGATTCTTCATCTTTCGCTGGTGTAAAGCTGTTGTAGTGAAATTCAGTATAACATGCCGACAAAATAAACGTATAACGGTTTATCATATTTTGTGGAATAAGTAATTGTTATACATACATTAATTAATGTCCGAATAGCAATTTTAATGTATTGCACAACTATGATTGAAACGGGCATGTTCGTGTATGACAAATTTCATCGCGTCCTATTCAACGTTCTCACGAATATGTGTACATAACACATCGTAATAATTCTCATCAAATAAAGTATTCCCTTGCAAGGAAATCAAACGTGTTACAAGAATGTTCAAACGAATACGGTTTTAACATAAAAAAATATACCTATAATCTGCCATCGAACAAGTTTAGAAATGATTTCTTCAGCGTCCACATTTTCTAATTTTTTTTTTTTTGTTCTTTCTTTATAATTTGTAATAACATTTGTAAGAAGAAAAAAAACAAGGTGCTTGTTATCGCAATTCGAGTTTTAACAAAAAATACATTTCACGAAAATAGACCGTATAATCGATCGAATAGAGGAGACCGCTGGCACAGATTGAAAATTATTGCAAAATTTTCTAGAACGTTTATTGTCTGAATTACTTTGTTAAGTATTTGTATGATAAGTTGTCTTGTAAAAATGTACCGATTTTACTAAGAAATTAAATGTGTTACTGAAAGAAAACCATGCACAAGTTCTCTTCAACTATATTTTTATCAACCTCCGTTCTTTACGTCGAAAATGGTAATGACGGAGCATAGAAGTAGTCGCGATTAAAATTAATAATTGTAAGTACCAATAAATTATCATTTTCACCGTACTTTCTTTGTATAAGACTGATATCGTTTGTATAATGCTTGATAATCCCGTTAGACGTATCGAGATTTATATACGTAAATTAATGTATTTAGAGAATATATATGTCTATATATAGATTGCAGGAAACACTTATATCATACTGTAAATAGAGAATTTACGGAATCGCATTTTCTAGTTCGATATAAGCGTTAGTATTAAGATCTTAGCTGATATAGAATTATCTTGAAAGGATATATACTTAATAAAACTGCGATATATATAAAAAACAAGAACTTTGTGCTCTTTAAGAATTCTGTTTTCAAATTCCCTATGTTAATGCATTTAATAAAGGGATCTTAAACACTTCTTGCTACTTGTTATCACTATCTGGTATAAAGCTTTTTATTATTTTTTTATTATTTCAAGCATATTATTATTAAACAATATTTGATATTGATCTGTATATAATAATTTTTGCATACGTTATTATCAAACATCAAGAAAATATATTTTTCTAATGTCCATTTTATTTATTGAGAAGATATAGATTTCATGACTACATTTTATATCAAATGTGATTGTCAAATATGTTTGAATCTTATTTGAACTAGATATGTATATCATATATTTCACAATTAATGATATAGATCAAATTGATTATAAGACTTAGATGATCACATTTAGTACTAATTGTGAGATGTAAATCCGGGTCATAATTTTAAAAAATGTGTGTAATGCACGCGCGCGCCCGCGCGCATATATATGTATATATACATATATATATACATATATATACACGCCTGTGCGTGTGTGTGTGTGTTTGTAGAGAATCGCAGATATAATTTAATGTAACATGATAAATATCAAAATACCATAAAATATGTTATAATCTTGTCATAAAATTACTGATGCTTAAACATAAAATTTAGCATCAGAGAGAAAAACGAGATGAATAAATATGTTATCTACAGTTTGAATTACTGCATTAGTTGATAACATAATGTGCTATTGTTAATTAAATCTGAATAATCTGGATCAATCTGTTAATAAATCTGAATTTACTATAAATGAGATGCAGAAGGATTTTTGCAAAACTCTAATATATGCTTCTTTTTTTTTAATGTAATATATTTCAAGTAATTCACCGCCTGTTGCATTTCAAATTTTACTATCTAGGCTCGTCTTGGTCTATTACTTCGCAATCTGATAGCAATATTTGTATGAAAATAGCAGTGTGTACAATATCTTACCAGCGCCTACTGCTATTGCTATAAAATATTCTTCTTTATTTGTTATAATCATTCACATAATCAAATATTGTTTAATGTGTACGACGTATTTACTAAATTTGTTAATATTTAATTTGAAAGATAAATTATAATGTACTTTATTATAAAAATAATTATTATAGAATTATCATAATTAACATTCAGAGTTAATCAAGAGAAAATTGCATCCAGGAATTATAATACATAATTATTAAATTAAGCAATCTAGAAATTCACGTAGTCGCTGCTGGTATTGGAAGTCAATTTTTCTAACATTATCACAGATTTAAAAAAATAACAGTGCTTACAAATAGTATCTTGCAGTGCGCGATTGTCAAGTTTTTTTCAAGCAGAACAGCAATAATGTACAATATTAATATAAGATATACAATAATAAAAGATGCTGTTCAGTACTATATTTTATATTATTACAAAATTCTTATATCTCTTTAATCTCAACGTATCAAACCCTGCTTGCATAGCTATTTACAGCTGTTATTACAGATAAGACATTTTTATAGTTTAAACAGAGTTAGCATATTGTAAATAAAAGTTGTAGAAATTATAAATTATTTTCTTTAATATCTAAAAAAACACAAAAAATAAACGACATACCTACATCATTGGCAATTAGAAATAAATTCGTCAGAATGCTAAATGTCAATTTATTACACTTATTCATTGTTTTTCTGATTATCCATATCACGCAAATGTTTGGATAATAATTCCCATTTAGATGCCCATGGGGGTTTGTCCAATCCTTGAGTGTTAACTTCCTCTATCAAGTTCATCAAGCGAATGAAAAATTCATTTAGTTTTCCAGCGGTGCCACGTCGCAATTTCTGAAAATGTTTATCTGAAATGCAAATTTTATCAATATTAGACTCTGTTATTTCTATAATTTGGATTAAAGACGATTCGAGAATAACAGCGATAAAATATTGTCAATAAATCTGCCTTTTACTGTCGTCATAAAGACGCTAATGATTATCGATGCTGAAATATAAATAGAATAAAAGTGGACTGTAGTATAAATCAATATTTGTGAGTATTCGTGACGTGACGCAAACAAGGATATAGAAACGATGAATGGGGGACAAGCATTTATATCGATATAGCAATTATATCGAATGTCTTTAAATATATCTTTAAGCAAATACTACGCTTCAAGACTATCTATTATCTTGATGTATAATTATGTACGATCTATAAGCTAGCATGATTTAAATAACGAGATATTACAATGTATTATTTAACTGCCATTTATAGTAATAATAAATAACAAAAATACATACTTGAAGGATGAAAAGAATTCTTGATCCAGATTGTTTGTTGTGTCAGCGCCGCCATAAGTCTCTTAGTAATTAAGCTCTGACTCTCCGATGTCACAGGCCTTAAGCGGGTAACAAATCGTAAAAGATATTCTAATAAGTATCTTGTGCAGACGGACAATTTTCCAAGACACCGCTGCGGCTTTGAACTCCACGCGACAATATAACTGAGACTATCAACATCAAGAAGCGGATGTTTAAGACCCTCTAGCCATTCGAACAACAATGTTGACAGTATCTCTAGATTAGTTTCCAATTCTAATCGTTGCCAGGCAGTACATCGATGATTTAAATCACTCTAAAAATATATTTTTAAATTTTTTAATGTTAATACTAATATTATCGTTAAACATTATTGTTTATAACGTTATATATAACGTTATTAACACGTAATATACATATATAGTAAACGTAATATATATAATTTTAAACTATATATATTTCTGGACGTCATATGTATTTGTAAAGAAAGTTATGTATTATACAGTATCCACTAAAGCGGGTGGTAGTAGTCAAGGATCATCCCGAGATACTTGTGATGATATAGGAAGATTGAGCGACGTATTCTGCATGTCACCGGATACCCCTTCCTGTGACTCTATATTTCCAGGTATTATTATTGACAAATTCAAAATGTTTGATATTTTTTAATCTATCTTGCTAAAATAATGTGTATATCTAACAGTACAATCTCTTGCGATAGGTCTCGACGATAGTTGCGTGGATGATGTCCTAGGTGATGGTATTCACGATCAAGATCTACTTGATAATGACTGTTATAAGGAAATTCAGTCACATATTGACTTAAAAAACATTGCATGCAATGATTATGAAACGGTGACTGCCGAGGAAGCTATCAAAGTACTCATCGGAAATAACACATCTTTTCCGGATTCCATAAAGAAACGTTTGCATAATTATCAGGTACTTAACTAATATATATATATATATATATATATATATACAAAAATCAATTTAAAATATTGTATTTAAATCGCAAAATAAATTATTAATTTTTGTTCTATGTAAAGTATAGTTTTGTTTATCATCGTATCATCTACTAGTAAAACTAGCGCTCTCTCGTTCTCTTTTCTAACAAAAAAAATTAAAATATTTTTTTTATCTTTTGAGATGCGACTATAAATAAAACAATAAGTGATAGAAGAAGTAACGTAATGATATATACTCAATAATATTATAATAACAATTAATATTTCTAAGTGCTATTTTTTTAATCTATGATGGCACGTGTTAATAACGTTATATATTACGTTTACTATATATGTATATTACGTGTTAATAACGTTATATATAACGTTATAAACAATAATGTTTAACGATAATATTAGTATTAACATTAAAAAATTTAAAAATATATTTTTAGAGTGATTTAAATCATCGATGTACTGCCTGGCAACGATTAGAATTGGAAACTAATCTAGAGATACTGTCAACATTGTTGTTCGAATGGCTAGAGGGTCTTAAACATCCGCTTCTTGATGTTGATAGTCTCAGTTATATTGTCGCGTGGAGTTCAAAGCCGCAGCGGTGTCTTGGAAAATTGTCCGTCTGCACAAGATACTTATTAGAATATCTTTTACGATTTGTTACCCGCTTAAGGCCTGTGACATCGGAGAGTCAGAGCTTAATTACTAAGAGACTTATGGCGGCGCTGACACAACAAACAATCTGGATCAAGAATTCTTTTCATCCTTCAAGTATGTATTTTTGTTATTTATTATTACTATAAATGGCAGTTAAATAATACATTGTAATATCTCGTTATTTAAATCATGCTAGCTTATAGATCGTACATAATTATACATCAAGATAATAGATAGTCTTGAAGCGTAGTATTTGCTTAAAGATATATTTAAAGACATTCGATATAATTGCTATATCGATATAAATGCTTGTCCCCCATTCATCGTTTCTATATCCTTGTTTGCGTCACGTCACGAATACTCACAAATATTGATTTATACTACAGTCCACTTTTATTCTATTTATATTTCAGCATCGATAATCATTAGCGTCTTTATGACGACAGTAAAAGGCAGATTTATTGACAATATTTTATCGCTGTTATTCTCGAATCGTCTTTAATCCAAATTATAGAAATAACAGAGTCTAATATTGATAAAATTTGCATTTCAGATAAACATTTTCAGAAATTGCGACGTGGCACCGCTGGAAAACTAAATGAATTTTTCATTCGCTTGATGAACTTGATAGAGGAAGTTAACACTCAAGGATTGGACAAACCCCCATGGGCATCTAAATGGGAATTATTATCCAAACATTTGCGTGATATGGATAATCAGAAAAACAATGAATAAGTGTAATAAATTGACATTTAGCATTCTGACGAATTTATTTCTAATTGCCAATGATGTAGGTATGTCGTTTATTTTTTGTGTTTTTTTAGATATTAAAGAAAATAATTTATAATTTCTACAACTTTTATTTACAATATGCTAACTCTGTTTAAACTATAAAAATGTCTTATCTGTAATAACAGCTGTAAATAGCTATGCAAGCAGGGTTTGATACGTTGAGATTAAAGAGATATAAGAATTTTGTAATAATATAAAATATAGTACTGAACAGCATCTTTTATTATTGTATATCTTATATTAATATTGTACATTATTGCTGTTCTGCTTGAAAAAAACTTGACAATCGCGCACTGCAAGATACTATTTGTAAGCACTGTTATTTTTTTAAATCTGTGATAATGTTAGAAAAATTGACTTCCAATACCAGCAGCGACTACGTGAATTTCTAGATTGCTTAATTTAATAATTATGTATTATAATTCCTGGATGCAATTTTCTCTTGATTAACTCTGAATGTTAATTATGATAATTCTATAATAATTATTTTTATAATAAAGTACATTATAATTTATCTTTCAAATTAAATATTAACAAATTTAGTAAATACGTCGTACACATTAAACAATATTTGATTATGTGAATGATTATAACAAATAAAGAAGAATATTTTATAGCAATAGCAGTAGGCGCTGGTAAGATATTGTACACACTGCTATTTTCATACAAATATTGCTATCAGATTGCGAAGTAATAGACCAAGACGAGCCTAGATAGTAAAATTTGAAATGCAACAGGCGGTGAATTACTTGAAATATATTACATTAAAAAAAAAGAAGCATATATTAGAGTTTTGCAAAAATCCTTCTGCATCTCATTTATAGTAAATTCAGATTTATTAACAGATTGATCCAGATTATTCAGATTTAATTAACAATAGCACATTATGTTATCAACTAATGCAGTAATTCAAACTGTAGATAACATATTTATTCATCTCGTTTTTCTCTCTGATGCTAAATTTTATGTTTAAGCATCAGTAATTTTATGACAAGATTATAACATATTTTATGGTATTTTGATATTTATCATGTTACATTAAATTATATCTGCGATTCTCTACAAACACACACACACACGCACAGGCGTGTATATATATGTATATATATATGTATATATACATATATATATACATATATATACACGCCTGTGCGTGTGTGTGTGTGTTTGTAGAGAATCGCAGATATAATTTAATGTAACATGATAAATATCAAAATACCATAAAATATGTTATAATCTTGTCATAAAATTACTGATGCTTAAACATAAAATTTAGCATCAGAGAGAAAAACGAGATGAATAAATATGTTATCTACAGTTTGAATTACTGCATTAGTTGATAACATAATGTGCTATTGTTAATTAAATCTGAATAATCTGGATCAATCTGTTAATAAATCTGAATTTACTATAAATGAGATGCAGAAGGATTTTTGCAAAACTCTAATATATGCTTCTTTTTTTTTAATGTAATATATTTCAAGTAATTCACCGCCTGTTGCATTTCAAATTTTACTATCTAGGCTCGTCTTGGTCTATTACTTCGCAATCTGATAGCAATATTTGTATGAAAATAGCAGTGTGTACAATATCTTACCAGCGCCTACTGCTATTGCTATAAAATATTCTTCTTTATTTGTTATAATCATTCACATAATCAAATATTGTTTAATGTGTACGACGTATTTACTAAATTTGTTAATATTTAATTTGAAAGATAAATTATAATGTACTTTATTATAAAAATAATTATTATAGAATTATCATAATTAACATTCAGAGTTAATCAAGAGAAAATTGCATCCAGGAATTATAATACATAATTATTAAATTAAGCAATCTAGAAATTCACGTAGTCGCTGCTGGTATTGGAAGTCAATTTTTCTAACATTATCACAGATTTAAAAAAATAACAGTGCTTACAAATAGTATCTTGCAGTGCGCGATTGTCAAGTTTTTTTCAAGCAGAACAGCAATAATGTACAATATTAATATAAGATATACAATAATAAAAGATGCTGTTCAGTACTATATTTTATATTATTACAAAATTCTTATATCTCTTTAATCTCAACGTATCAAACCCTGCTTGCATAGCTATTTACAGCTGTTATTACAGATAAGACATTTTTATAGTTTAAACAGAGTTAGCATATTGTAAATAAAAGTTGTAGAAATTATAAATTATTTTCTTTAATATCTAAAAAAACACAAAAAATAAACGACATACCTACATCATTGGCAATTAGAAATAAATTCGTCAGAATGCTAAATGTCAATTTATTACACTTATTCATTGTTTTTCTGATTATCCATATCACGCAAATGTTTGGATAATAATTCCCATTTAGATGCCCATGGGGGTTTGTCCAATCCTTGAGTGTTAACTTCCTCTATCAAGTTCATCAAGCGAATGAAAAATTCATTTAGTTTTCCAGCGGTGCCACGTCGCAATTTCTGAAAATGTTTATCTGAAATGCAAATTTTATCAATATTAGACTCTGTTATTTCTATAATTTGGATTAAAGACGATTCGAGAATAACAGCGATAAAATATTGTCAATAAATCTGCCTTTTACTGTCGTCATAAAGACGCTAATGATTATCGATGCTGAAATATAAATAGAATAAAAGTGGACTGTAGTATAAATCAATATTTGTGAGTATTCGTGACGTGACGCAAACAAGGATATAGAAACGATGAATGGGGGACAAGCATTTATATCGATATAGCAATTATATCGAATGTCTTTAAATATATCTTTAAGCAAATACTACGCTTCAAGACTATCTATTATCTTGATGTATAATTATGTACGATCTATAAGCTAGCATGATTTAAATAACGAGATATTACAATGTATTATTTAACTGCCATTTATAGTAATAATAAATAACAAAAATACATACTTGAAGGATGAAAAGAATTCTTGATCCAGATTGTTTGTTGTGTCAGCGCCGCCATAAGTCTCTTAGTAATTAAGCTCTGACTCTCCGATGTCACAGGCCTTAAGCGGGTAACAAATCGTAAAAGATATTCTAATAAGTATCTTGTGCAGACGGACAATTTTCCAAGACACCGCTGCGGCTTTGAACTCCACGCGACGATATAACTGAGACTATCAACATCAAGAAGCGGATGTTTAAGACCCTCTAGCCATTCGAACAACAATGTTGACAGTATCTCTAGATTAGTTTCCAATTCTAATCGTTGCCAGGCAGTACATCGATGATTTAAATCACTCTAAAAATATATTTTTAAATTTTTTAATGTTAATACTAATATTATCGTTAAACATTATTGTTTATAACGTTATATATAACGTTATTAACACGTAATATACATATATAGTAAACGTAATATATAACGTTATTAACACGTGCCATCATAGATTAAAAAAATAGCACTTAGAAATATTAATTGTTATTATAATATTATTGAGTATATATCATTACGTTACTTCTTCTATCACTTATTGTTTTATTTATAGTCGCATCTCAAAAGATAAAAAAAATATTTTAATTTTTTTTGTTAGAAAAGAGAACGAGAGAGCGCTAGTTTTACTAGTAGATGATACGATGATAAACAAAACTATACTTTACATAGAACAAAAATTAATAATTTATTTTGCGATTTAAATACAATATTTTAAATTGATTTTTGTATATATATATATATATATATATATATATTAGTTAAGTACCTGATAATTATGCAAACGTTTCTTTATGGAATCCGGAAAAGATGTGTTATTTCCGATGAGTACTTTGATAGCTTCCTCGGCAGTCACCGTTTCATAATCATTGCATGCAATGTTTTTTAAGTCAATATGTGACTGAATTTCCTTATAACAGTCATTATCAAGTAGATCTTGATCGTGAATACCATCACCTAGGACATCATCCACGCAACTATCGTCGAGACCTATCGCAAGAAATTGTACTGTTAGATATACACATTATTTTAGCAAGATAGATTAAAAAATATCAAACATTTTGAATTTGTCAATAATAATACCTGGAAATATAGAGTCACAGGAAGGGGTATCCGGTGACATGCAGAATACGTCGCTCAATCTTCCTATATCATCACAAGTATCTCGGGATGATCCTTGACTACTACCACCCGCTTTAGTGGATACTGTATAATACATAACTTTCTTTACAAATACATATGACGTCCAGAAATATATATAGTTTAAAATTAATCAATAAAGAAATATATTTAAAGCATCACAAATAGAGAGGGAGAGAGAGTGTGCATACTTATATATATAGTAAATATGTGTACATATATGTGTGTATGTATTTTATTTTTCATTTATTTAAATTAATTAAAATAAAATTATTACAAACACATACATACAGATTTGCAAGGAAAATATTTAATTATATAATAAAGTCGTGGGCCTTAATGAGCAATTCAATTATTTAATCGAATATTCTCCGGGACGGATAGAGGTTAATTGGATATTATAAAATTACTTAATTACTAAATATGCGTGTAATGCTTCTCACTTGAATATTCGTAGGATGAGTCCGTAAGGGATTCCGCCCACGAATAGGAGTGCCGTATGTTTCCTGTGCTGTCACGAAATTTCTCCAACACATGGCAGATAAATTTTTGCGTAAAAGGCACATTGGAAATCGTATACGAAATTTCGGAAGGCGAATTGTCTTCCTGACAATCGCAAAGTTGCAGTATCCGTTCGCAAATAATGAAAACAATCTAATACAAATTTAATCAATTAAAAAACTATATCTTTTGTATTGTGTAAGCAATTTTGAGAATAACAATAGAAAATTAATATTTATTTATTGGTAATATTAATATACTATTAACAATAAGTCAAAACAGAACATTAAAATTAATATTGTTTTATTTTTTAACAACATTTATAAATTATTTTAAAGATATTATATATATGTATGTGAGCTGTTCTCAAAAAGCAAATTTCAAAAATTTAATTTTTAAAAAGATTTTGTTAATAATTCCAGCAACATTCTTTGCAAATAAAAAAAATGAAAATTTAATTTAATGCAATTTAATCAAATTAAATTCTAATAAAATTAGATAATATATAATTATAAACGTCCATAATGTCACGTAAGTAAATTATTAAATGCATCGTACTTTTGGAATATGCTTAAAGTTGCGCTGCTCATATCCGTGTAACATGTTGTACTGCTTCTTCAGGTATGTTTGAAGACTGTAGGGTTTGCGATCTCCGGTTGTACTATGTAAAGGGAATACTATCATCTGCGGAAGCACGAAGTGCTCGAATTCCTGAATGCAATGTATCTGTCCGCGCGTTTGTATAGCAGACGGACGTTTCATACGGACAAATCTTATTGCATCGTTTGCCCTCACACGAAGACTGTAAATAAGGTAGCACGCGATCAGAACGCCAGTTCTGCCGAGACCTGAAAGTTAAATACTTCCAACATTATTTTGTTACTGCAGGCCTAAGTCGAGTTATTAATCAGATACGAGCAAATAAGCAAACTGTACAAAATTAGTCAAAAATTATTGCATAATTAAGAGTTAACATACATTGTTATAAAAAAAAAATCAACCGTGAAATTGTTTTTATCAATCTTTGATCATCTTTTTCTCGCGAATAAAGAGGTGATTGTAATTTTAGATTATATATATAAAATCTAAGAAGAGATACTGAAACAAAAGTTCGTCATTTATAAGCGAAAGCACTTTTCAATCTCTTTTAAATCTTAAGTGTAGAATTGAAAGATTTCTCAGATTAGATTCCTATTATAAGAATAGTTACGTTAGTTAACCGTATTAACTTAGTCATCGCATTATCGATAAAACATTGCCTTATCGATCCTATGTTATTTTGAAATATTATAAATATTATAATAAAATATATATTATATTATAAAATATTATAAAATTAAATTATATTAAATTAATAACAAGTTACCATATATTAAAATAACCAAATAATTAAAATTTTTTATAACACGCACATACATTGTATTAAAATTGCATATTTGGCATAATATTATATATTCTTCATTAATTTCAACTTGTTGCTTCGAATAAGAGTACATAAGACATGTTAATATATTTAAAGACAAACAATCCACCATTTGAATGGCAATAAATCTTTCTTTCTACGTATCATAAAAAAAATTAATTTGTTACAGTCGATCATCACGATTAGATCTATGATTTTTAGCACACAATAATTTGATGATTACAATTGTAATTTTCCTTAGACGTATATCTAAATGGATATTTTCTTCTGTGTATGCACTATTTATATGTAAACGAATATATAATGGTAGTGATGTGGGTATAAAAATATCACCGTTACGTTCGATAGATCGCTTATCGTTCCACCCGTATTTTGTACTTTAATGGAAAGGAAATCCCTCGTCATGTTGCGGTAGTGTGTGTTCGTGATGTTAATAAATTAGGTAAATGAAACGTAATGGGGTCTAATTTATTTCAGTAATCATACATTTTTATCTAATTATATAATTATCTAAAATTATAAGATAGCCAACAATAAATTTTTATAAGCCATTTATTTTTTACATCATATGATTGAGAGAGAGAGAGATACTTTAGAAGAGCTTCCAAATATTCACATATTTTGAGAAATGTTTAAATATTAATTATTTTGTAGAGAAAACAGTTTATTTTTGATAAAAGGCTATTCGGAGAATTCTTTTCATAATATTTTAATGTATATATTTATTTTGATATTTTGTATTCTAGGTATAATGATTAAAGCTGGGTTAGTATTAAACAAAGAAACATGGTAAAAACATTAAATAATTAATTATTGATAAAAAGATCATATTAAATATATTTCTAAACTGTAAATTAAATTTTACGGTGCATTTTACGGTTCTTAATCGAGATTACTATTTTCCGCTTCTCTCTATTATTGGATGAAATCTTTTCGCGTGTGCACCGTAAAGATTCAAATGCACGATGCACGTATGCATCAGCCGACTTTGCACGCAATATATCACCGTAATATCGTAAACGATAAATATTTTTCATGCGTTGCTTAGATTAAAATTAATAAAAATATAAATTATATTTATACCAACAAAAATTCGTATAAAAATATAAATAAAGGTAATATAAAAACTGATTAATGAATAAAAAATATATCAAGGAGAGGATATTTAAACAACATTATAAACTAATTTATACATACGCATTAATCTTATACGATCGTGCGCTCAAAAAGCCATGATAGCCGGGAGAGATGCAACTGGGTCAAGTATATTGTATGAAAAATCGATTTACCAGCATGACAGTGAATGGCCACTCTTCCTTCTTGTACGGCGAAGGCCACAACCTTGACCATATCCAAAAGTTTTCCCATTGTAGCATCACCATAATCCTTCAGGGCAAAATTGTAATAGTAAACTGCAACAAATTTGTATAATCGGTAATTGGAACAGTTTGATGCTAAAGGTACCTGCGATAGAGAGAATAAGCGGTAGCAACGGTTGTTATTTTGGGGCTTTTCTTTCTCTGGATAGATATATGCGTTTGCTGCATTGCATGTTATATTGTGAAGCTCTTCGATCTAGCTAGTGGTTGTTAAGGAATGGGGAAGAGACACTTTCACAATTCTATACATTTAACAAGGACATCCCTCCATTTTGTTTTACCATAGCGATTCTTCCTAACTTAAAAATGAAATTTTTTGCCGTTTTATCACAACCTCTGTCATTAATACAATTTGCATATTGTGATATAATGCAAAATGCAATAAAATTAGAGCAAATTATATAAATAACATGTTAGGGTATTACACCATCTGCAATGTATATGATCATGAAAAGAATTTTTATTAGATTAGTCAATATTTATTGTAACTAGCCTACTATAAAATATAGAAATTAAAAAAATATTGCCATAAAATAACGCAAGTTAAAATGGAGAAATGTTGCTTTAAAAAAAAAAAATAATATAAATTGTATAATTACTATATTATTGTATTATATAATGACGTTATGTAAATCATAACTATGAAATGTTAAATATTATATAAAAGTTATATATAGCTTTTTTACATAAATTAATTATTTATTTTTATCTTAAAAAATATTTAGATCATAATTAATATTTTCCAAAGTTATTTTTGATAATAAATAAATAGGAATATTGACAATTAATACTGAAATAGGATTCTATATGATAAGCATTTTTAATACCTACTGTTATTTTTCATAAAAATATTGGGATCATATGTGAAACCGCTCTCTTCGAGTGGACCTCCACAACTTGCGTGTTCGCCAGGTGTTTGCAAGTTTATTATAGTTTTTATGCTCCAACCTTGAAATTGGGCAATTATATCTTTTTTTATTATTTGAGCCGTGTTAGGCCGTGCCATCGCAAGGACATCATCAGTCACCCTAAAATATTTGAATCATTTAGATCAAGATCTAATGTACAGTGCTGGCATAATAGCTGGACACGTAATAATAAATTTAAGAGGTTTGACTTTTTTATTAATTATCCATATCTTGATACATCGAAGAGGATATACCCAGTACATATTTGATATAATCATGATTTATAAATAAACCTTTGCCATTGCGGTTGAGCTTCGATAAAATGTCAATGATAAGTTGGCTTTAATATATTGGGTTGAACGGAAAGTTCGTTCCGTTTTTGACTAAGAGATGAAGACCAAAAAAACGGCACAAACTTTCCGTTTAACTCAATAGAATGCATGTCTTTGATGATATAAATGTAACAAGTTATAAACACATTTCAGAATAATATTATATCACAAATATTCATATCTTTTATATTATTTAGAACTATATATATGAGTGAATAATTCGCAATAATGCAATACTAAAATTATAATAAATAATAATTTTTTAATTAATTATTTTTATATTAGGTATATAACACATACTATAAAAAGAGATAATAGAATTTATTATTTTTTATTTTTCTTATATATTATCTAATTGAATCATTGAATTATTAAAAAGTAAGAACTATATTTTATTAATTTATTATTTATTATATTTTATTAGCAATATTTTTTATATTCTTTTGTTTACTTTATGTTTTCTTGTTATCCTATAAAATTTAACAAGCGGCGATAGTGCTCACCAATGCGAAAAGATGTTTTGTATTGCCATGTGGACAGGTGGCCAAGCCTTTGGATTTTCATACTTGCACCTGGATCCACCGCAAAAAATGGCGCACTGTATAGACTGTGGTGTAAACTTTCGCAAATTTTCGGAAAACTTATTGTATCCCGCTTGAATCTCGCATCCATCTGTTTGCCTACTTTGAAGACCTGCCGGAACTAACGAACTTACATCCATTCTACAATGAAAATCCGATTATAGCAATAATTATAATTCAATTAAAAATATGTATTATAAGGTTTATAAGAGATAAATTTATAATTAAAAAAAAAAGATTATAACCAACAATACACTTTGGCACAAATAACAATCACGTTTCAATATATCACTGTTCTACATTATATTTCACATATAACATAATATTACAATATATTCTCATATAAAATAACATAGTACATGCAATAAAAGCAATGGAACTTTTATAACAATTTGAAAAGAAAAATTTTTTAAAATTGCGCACACAAGATAATAATACATACATTCGCGGAAATATTTATATGCTTTTCATCCATCTCATAGCTATGCACAAAAATAGCAATCGTTTTTATTAATTAGTCTCGTTTATTAGCTATTAAACCGTGCACGTAGATTACACGCGACGCGGGTTTAACGTACGAAGTTGGTCAATATAAAAAAGCAGTTGACTCACTATAGGACAAGCGCATAGCGACTGGCAGTTCCACTATCATAACGCCGCTTTATCTATCGTTGAAACGAAAGAGGGTTGCGCCTGCGTCGGGCAGGCAAGGTGGTAATATTGAGACTTTTTTTTACACGTTGTTCAAAGCGCTCATGCATAAGTGTAAAATAATAATGCACGGTAAGGTACAATCGGTGGTTTATGATATCGGTCACGAAGATGGAATTAAAATCGCATGTTGAAAATAATTTTTTTCTAAGTTATTTAAGCATATAAAGAAAGAAGCTTTAAAAAGTTTAAATTATTAAAAAATATTTATTATTAAGAAATCATAAAAATGTGCATCAAATAAAAATTTTCTGAAAGCTTATAAGAATGTAATTTATCGCTCAATTACATATGCAACAGAGACAGATATTTTATATATTATATTAATTTTTTCAAGAGATAGAGTATAGAATGTTAGATACTATCATCTCGTAAGACTTTGACGGAAGTCGATACATGCGAATTGTATTTTGTATGAAACTAAAATATGAAGTTTGTCAAACCCCAAGTGAAAAATTTCTTGATTATAGGCCGAAAGAAAGCTCCATGCAAATTTTGAGCCAAATCAAAAAGGTGAAGACCCTAATAATAGATATTTACCCAAAATTTTTATCTAATTTTTAGATTTATATCTGAAATTTATCCGAATGTTCAATTTGATGTCATTTCAATCGCAAAAATCTTATTAATAAAGTAAAATTACGTTCGGCAAGATATAAAATATAAAAATTTTATAAAAATTTGGCATTATTTTCGTTGCGAAGCGTTTGGTGGACAAATCAGGCCGAAGAATCTTGTTCTTCGAGCGAAAATAGCGTTAAGCGAAGCGTATCTATTGTTATGTTTATTTTCAAAAGACTTGTAGTATTAATAATTATCTTATTGTTTTAATTACTTATGCTTATATAATAGCTTTTAATGTGCATTGGTGCGCATTAGTGCATCCCATCAAATTCATAAAATAGAAAATTAATTAAATAATAATTAATAAAAATTACTTAATAATAAAAAACTATATAAATGAAAAGCATAATTTAATATTGCTTAAAATGCTTGATACTTTTGTTCTAAGAATAAAGAAAAAATAAAAGCAATTTTGTAGAATCTTCTCTCTACACATTATATTTAAAAATTATAAAGAAAATTAATTTAAGAAGATTTATTTTATTTTACATGCGCATATATTCAATTTGATGTCATTTCAATCGCAAAAATCTTATTAATAAAGTAAAATTACGTTCGGCAAGATATAAAATATAAAAATTTTATAAAAATTTGGCACTATTTTCGTTGCGAAGCGTTTGGTGGACAAATCAGGCCGAAGAATCTTGTTCTTCGAGCGAAAATAGCGTTAAGCGAAGCGTATCTATTGTTATGTTTATTTTCAAAAGACTTGTAGTATTAATAATTATCTTATTGTTTTAATTACTTATGCTTATATAATAGCTTTTAATGTGCATTGGTGCGCATTAGTGCATCCCATCAAATTCATAAAATAGAAAATTAATTAAATAATAATCTACACATTATATTTAAAAATTATAAAGAAAATTAATTTAAGAAGATTTATTTTATTTTACATGCGCATATATATAAAAATATTTAATTCAATAACAATTTATTATCGCTGTCCATAGTATATATTAGAAATTAGAATGACAAAACATCACGTGCAGCTAATAAAATTATGAATTTAGCACGGACATGCACTATTAACCGGTCGTTTTACCGTGGCACCGTAAAGTGGATCTGTCCATGTAGTTCCGCCAGTTCTAAAATGGATCCAGATGGCGATACTATACTAAATGTCATTCTGAGAGAGTGAGAGAATAAGTGCAGTCGGTGTTATCGTACATAACGGCTGAACTATGGTCCGTCAGATGTAGGTAGATTTAGATAAGATTAATCAAGTATATCGAAGTCGTACGCAGTCGTACGAATTCCGAGCGTTTTGGCCATATATCATCGGTGCAAAAACGAGGACAAAAGATGTCTGGCTTTGACGAAAACCCCTTCGGGGAACCTACGATCAACGATCCCTTTTCAGTAAGTAGCAAGTAGCGTGTGTGTAACAGAATGACGAAAGCGAAACACGTAATTCCGTGCTCCGATATTGCTTGCGTATCTGTCAAAATTCGTCGGCTCAGCTCGTCGGTATTTTCTTTCGTCTATCTCAGAAAAGATTAATCACGATGTATCGAACGATAAATGACACTTATAAAATTCAATTAATGATTATTGATTGTCATTCTAATGTTGGCAAAAATATTTTTCTGCGCCTTTACATTAATAATCTTTATTTTCTATCATCAGGCAACCCATAATCTTTTCATCACAAAATCTAATTGTTCCAATATGTGTATTTATTGCATTTCTACTTTGTAGTCTTGTTTATATTTTATATGATATTGTATTATTTTACATGCAATTTTGCAATGCAATAAAATATATTATTGTAATATTATTTTTCTTCCACATTTGGAAATGTTAAAGTACAATATTATATCGATAAAATTATACCTTCTTTGATAATAATTTATTAGAATACATCTTGTGTTTCTTTGTAATTTAAAACATGCCTAAAACATAATTTTATATTTAAATGTCTGTGTAGAAGAAAAGAGAATATAACAATATATAAATTAACAAAAAATTGAAGAAAAAGAATTAATAGTATATTAACATCAATAATAGGATCCAGCAATACGAAGAGCAGTAACTTCTACACCTGCGACTAGAGGTCTTGAAGATTATAATCCTTTTGCTGAGCAAGGTACTCAAGGAACTACACAAGTCAGAGGAGCAGTAAATCCACCAATCTATGGTGGAGTTGGTGCAACGCAGCAACCGGCCACACTTCAACCTACTAATCAAGAAGCACCTCCTCCTGCATATGCTCGCACTCCCCAGCAAACAGTCAATGCTGCGCTTGGAAGTTCTTTGTCACCTTCATCAGATGTAAATTTATGCTAAATATTTTATAATGTTTCTATGAAATTTCTTTTATAAGCCTTTTAAAGTTTTTTAAGATAAGATAGAATATTTTAATATATTTTAGCAACGAGCTGAACCAGAATGGAAAGCCAGAGCAGAAGAAGAATTAAGAAATACTCCTTACTACCGTTAGTTTATCATTTACACTATAATTTTTAGTTTAAATAATGTGTGTTATTTTTGATTTAATTAAAGATATTTATTGTGAAATTCTCGATATTATAGCAAGACGAAATAATTGGCCACCATTACCAGATAAATGTTGTTTCCAACCATGCTTCTATCAAGATATTGATGTAGAAATTCATACTGATTTTCAAAAAATAGTGAGGCAATTGTATTATCTTTGGATGTGTAAGTCTTCATATAAACAATATTATATTTATTTATTAATGTTATATGTGTGCATTATATATTTAATAATATTGTTTATAGTTCATGGATGTGTCCTGCTATTGAATGTAATTGGAGGATTTGTCTTGATGCTTTGTAACCAGAATTTCTCAGCATTTGGTCTGGCAATCTTGTATCTTATACTCTTTACTCCATTTTCCTTCATGTGTTGGTTTAGACCAGCATACAGGGCTTTCAAGTAAAATTTATTTGATATCATAAGAATCAAACAAAGCATAGGAATTAGAAATAAATAATTGCTTTAATTTTTCAGGAATGACAGCTCTTTCAACTTTATGGTTTTTTTCTTCGTCTTCTTCTTTCAACTTATTGTCACAAGTATACAGGCTATAGGTATTCCTGGTGCAGGAACTTGGTAATATATATTTTTTATTACACTTCAATTTTATGCATGGCATATAAGTACTTGTATGCTAATATAAATTGCATCTTTTATGTTGCAGTGGTATAATAACAGCGATTAGTACGCTGGACTCGACGGCCGAAGGTATTTTTGTTGGTCTCCTTATGCTCTTCATCGCTATTGGTTTTCTGCTTGCTGCAGGTGGCGATCTCTTACTGCTTTCTAAGGTATAGTACATACATTGACAAAATGAAAACTAATTCGTAATTTCAATGAAGCACAAATGAGATTATGTATTTACAGATTCATCGCATTTATCGTAATTCCGATGCAAGTGTTACGAAAGCGCAGCAAGAGTTTGCTACAACATTTTTGCGAAACGAGCATGTGCAAAACGCTGCGAGCAATGTGGCGGCAAGTGCAGTTCGTTCACAAATGGCTAATGCTAACCAGCCACGTTATTAAATAACTATCATTTATTTGTTCTTCGGATATACACTATATTCTGGCTTTACATCATTCAAGTAAGTGGATAGATCTCATTAGTTCCACTGTTTACAGATTATGCAAAACAATCATAGAAATGCAATGTATTTGCAAAACTTATTCTTACAATGAAACACTGTAATATATATAAAAATTGTGCTTCACGATTAAATTTATTCTCTGATGTATGTTGTATTAACATTAATTGTACAGCTATAGTAAAATATTGAAGCATTGATGGATATTCTAAAGAAATCTTTCAAAACTAATGTGTATTCCATTTTTTATTCGTTCATTATCATTCTCATTTGTGTTTATTTATAAAATCTACAAATTAGATTAAAATGATATGAGTGAGCTATTGATAATCATATCTACAATTTTATTATTATATAATTGCTTATATTTACTAGCTTTCATATTTTAGTAACACAGTTTCATAACAATATGATTATGTATAAGCTATAAGACCAATTACTATGATAAAAAAATGGTAATTAAATCTTTTTCCAAGTCCAAATAATCAGAAGATTCAATTATAGAACATAATTTGATTCAAATTTGTTAAATATTAACATAAACGCTAATTTACTTATGTGAATGTTGATATGTAGCCTTTTTATAAACCTTATAAAATCCTGTATACATTCCTCTTTATATATATATATATATAATGTGTTTAATTATTTTTCATTCTGATTGTTATTTTTTTAATTAAACTCTCGCTTCTTGCGAGTTATATTATATAACAGAAAAAAGTTAGAGTTTACTGAAAAAGTTTATGGATATATATTTATAAACATATTGTTTTATAATTTATACAAATGCATCATTGAAATTAATTCATGATTGTTATAAAAACTTATTTATATAATATTTTTCAATCAAAGTATTAAAAAATATGGTTATTATTTATTAGAACTGAGATATAATTATGTTTATTTGTATGTCTTCACATATTATAATGATAATAAACATATATTATATATAAATACAATTGAAAATCTTAAAATTAATTGTTATAAACAATTATTAAAAATATTAAATATAAATTTTTATGTAAAATCACAGTGCGCGCATATTTTTATAAAATCTTAATCAAAGACTTAATAGATATTTATTATAAAAATATTTCATTAGCAATTGATATTTATATACATGATTCTAATTCTTGTAACTCTAGTTTTTTGAGTAAATCTTTTGCTGCAAGAAAATATTATTAAAACTCTAGTGTTGCATAAAAGAAATATTAAAACATGTTATACATTTATACAACTTTGTAAATTGATTAATATGTGCATACCTTTGGAATGATATGTTGCGATGGGATCTGTAGGAAATGGACAGCCAATATCAGAATTATTTAACAGAGTAGTTCCAATTAATTCTGCTGCAGTTATAGCATCTATAACTTCTACTTTAGTTCTGTACATAAGTTTTGCATGACCCTCTGCTAATCTGAAATAATTAAGTTTATTGATATTACCAATTTATAAATCATTTATAATAATAAAATAATCGCGTCGCGCGCGCGTGAAATTGATTTAGTGCAAACAGCATGCAAGAAAGAATTCTGGTCATTAATGTTGACTAATTGAAATGGTGATTAATTATTATTATTATACCTGATAAGACTATCTAAAAGTCGTACTGTTGTTCTCTCAGGTCTCCTATATGGATCTGATCTGTGATAAAGATAAGCTGCACTGAGTATTTTTTTTGCTTCTTCGGTTAACACTGGTTTCCATGTACGCACGTGCGCGAAATATTCACAGAGGGTCTCCTCCGTCCACAAACTTGTTAAGTTTAAAGGACCCATATATGTTTCGGAATATCTGTAAAATAATATTCTCTACAGATGTTTTGTTATTGTGAATTATAACGGCATTATAAAATACGGATGTTATTACGAATTATTTTCTTCGTTTTCTTCACAAGCAGCTTCCAAAATATGACTCGATGTCATTTTGTCCCATTCGGGATTTCTAGTATCTTTCAGAAGGAGGATTAGATCGAAACGCGACAAAAGAGGATTTCCCAAACAGCTTTTCCATTCTTCACCCATAAAACATCCGCCATCTGGATTAATAGCTGCAATGACAGAACAACGGCTGTTTAAAGTGGTCAGCATACCGGCTTTAGCTATGGAGATCGTTTGTTGTTCCATTGCTTCATGTACAGAAGTTCTATCATGTGAACTCATTGTCGTGAATTCGTCCACGCAACATACACCTCCATCTGCGAGGACTAACGCACCGGCTTCTAAATGCCAACCATCCGAATCCTATAATACATCTTTTATGATAGATTATTTACGAAATAATTACTTAGATTGAGGAATAAGATAAATAAATATAAAATATTTAACATGACTAACTTTGACAGCACCTGCTGTAAGCCCAGCAGCAGTAGTACCAATACCAGTTGTAAGGACAGACCGTGTAATTAATCGAGACGCAGTATGAAGTAATTGCGATTTACCAGTTCCAGGATCTCCAATTAGAAGAAGATGGGGTTCACCTCGCACACGTATTCCCGTTTCGTTAGTTTTTGCCACTCCACCACATATAACAACAGCCAATGCTAATTTTGCGAAATACATTCCATATAGCTGTAAATGATCAAGAAAAACAGGAAATTACATTTAATATAAAATGTATACTGTATATTTTATATCATACAATACTATTTTGTAATATTTAAAAATATTAAGTATACTTGGGGACAAATAGAGGCAAGAATATTGTCTCTGCCAGCTAACACATTATCTCTATAATGTTCCCAATATGCTGTAAAAGTATCTCTTATTTCAGCAGTAGAAAATGTTGCTTCTGAGATTTTTTTGTGTATCGAAATGTTGTTGGCTATCAGAAATGTCGTGGCTTCCGCGCGATGACCAACTTTTAATGTACTCCATTTTCGTATAACTATTCCGCTAAAAATGTTAATATTTGATCTGATTTTTATTCTTATATTTTTTTCACAATTAAATATAAATAAGCTACTAACCTGATGTCTACATTATCACCAGGTCTACATTTGTCGATCAAATCATCCAATAAAACTACTTGTAAACCCACTGAATAATAACTTTGTGTATCTGCTTTACATTTGTCCTGTATATATAAATATTGTTTATATAATATATAATATAATAGTAATAAAATTGGATAAAGCTTTTTGTACCTGAATCTTTATTTCTTGATAATCTGAACAATCATCTTGTTCTAAAGATGTTAAAGCTGTTATATTTGGTGATCGACATGCTTCACAACATTTAATATTTCTAAACAATTGTCTTTCCCACTCTAGCTGTAAGAAAATATTAGGAATATAATTTATATATATTCATATGTATCTTAGAGAGAGAACGAGAGAGCAGGTTTCAAATTATAATTTATTTTATGTTGTGCTTTTTGCTGAATATAATATTTATATACCTTAACCACACTGACATGTTTACATTTTTTACAGACAAAACGTTTTTTTAACTTCATAATTGTAGGTTGAGACATGCGGACTACAATTCCAGTTGTTGAAACCAGTTCACCAATTTGACTTGTGTCGATTTTTATTGGTACTGCAGTAATTCTAATGTGAACCTATTTTGATATATTAAAATAAAGTAAGAGATTAATAATATAAACAGTTAGCAGAGTATATAAATATGAAAAATAATTCCTGTTTTTTATCAGATAACGCATAATGTATATATAAAAGTAATTAGTAAAATGAAAATTCGTACTCTAGTCTTTACTGTTTGATCTGTTTTGCATAATTGTTCCTGAGCTTTTGCTGCTGCTTCATCACATAATGGTAAATAATGTCTAGGATTGCGTAAGATTTTCTGTGCAATCTCTGCATCAGCCTCAAATAATGACACGAAACTAAAAAATTATACAAGACCATAAAAACATTATTAAGGAAAAAAAAGAGGATTTGTCACATAACTTATTAACTTTTTTACTAATACATTTAAAGTTTAAAATAGATAATTCTGAATTATACATATATTTTCTGTTAATCTAATAAGTATAAGAATAAGAAATTAACTTACTTTACTTGTATTGAATAGAACACATGATCCTTTGTAGCATTTAATATTTCTTCCAAATCTTTCGTGTGATGCTTTAAAAGATAATCTTGAAGCATATTGATTACAGAAAATATTACTGTGATAATTGTTGACGACTTAATAACTTTAATTTGAAATAAAATATACTTTAAAATATCAACATATAAATAGCACGTAATTATTTTCCTCCTAACCGTGGAATCGTGTGTGTGTGTGTGTTTACAGTTAGCTATAACCTCTACTGACAGCTGACAGTACTGACCATAGACATAGTATATCTAGACCGAGTGTTGAGAAGTGGGGGCCGATGCCCATGTAGAAAAGGACATACTCTGTTTCGTGCCCCTTGCGTTCTCTCTCGCTCGCACGTAGCATGACGAAAGAGAGCGCTATGCTCTGTGCGAGCGAGAGAGAACGTTCTCAACACTCAGTCTAGATATACCATAGACATAGTATATCTAGACCGAGTGTTGAGGAGTGGGAGCCGAGGCCCACGTAGAAAAGGACATACTCTGTTTCGTGTTCCTTGCGTTCTGTCTCGCTCGCACAGAGCATAGCGCTCTCTTTCGTCATGCTACGTGCGAGCGAGAGAGAACGCAAGGGGCACGAAACAGAGTATGTCCTTTTCTACGTGCACCTTGGCTCCCACTCCTCAACACTCGGTCTAGATATACTATGAGCTCTGTTACACGGCACCCTTAATCGGGTTTAATAACATCCGTAGTTCTAAGGCTGGCCAATCCACAGTCATTCCATTCTTCAGAGGCATAGCTGTGATTGGCCAGTTTTACAACTACGGATGTTATTAAACCCGATTAGGGGTGACGTGTAAACGTAGTCTATGTCTATGGGGGGTACATATAGAAGTACACCCATAGACATAGTATATCTAGACCGAGTGTTGAGGAGTGGGGGCCGATGCCCACGTAGAAAAGGACATACTCTGTTTCGTGCCCCTTGCGTTCTCTCTCGCTCGCACAGAGCATAGCGCTCTCTTTCGTCATGCTACGTGCGAGCGAGAGAGAACACAAGGGGCACGAAACAGAGTATGTCCTTTTCTACGTGGGCATCGGCCCCCACTCCTTAAATAAAGGCAAACGCTCGGTCTAGATATAATAAGTCTATGGTACTGGCTAAACATTACGCGCGATCACTTTCTGGTTACGGTTACGGACTTTTCATTCAATTTTTGTATTTAATGACCTAGCAAACCATTGATCGAGAATGCACTCCGTTTGACGCTATTTTCACTTCGAAGCGTTTGATGGACCAATCAGGCCGAAGAATTTTGCAGCTTCAAAGCGTCAAGTGGAGCGCACCTCTACGTCAAACGTGAAACGTGACATAAGACTGAAAGACACTAGCAGACACTAGAAAATTACGCGCGTACGTATCGAAATCAATAGTGGGGATAAATAAAAAGATAGATTGGCATTATATTCTCATAATTGTATCAATATCCATTCGAATCATCACCACCGGTAAGCGGCTAAGAAATTCAAAGGTACACATTTTTATTAATTTAATTGTTATATTACATAAAAATTGTATTGTAAAATCTATTATATACATACTTATCTTTTATTCTTTTATTTTAATTCTCCTAATTTAGTCTTTTGCCAAAACAGTTTATATTTCTCATATATTTTAACAATTTCGGTAAAAATGTCGCGCCTAGCACGCGGCAAAGGTTATTTGCTAAAACACTATCAATGTCGCAAATTCCTCAGCTGTCAGTTGAACGTTTGAAATTCCATTTGTGCCGAAAACCATTTTCGCATCACGTTCTGAGGATCGGTCGCAGTTTCGGTTACTTTTCGCCAAACCGCATTGACGGCTGGCTTCCATTAATCGATCCCTGTGTTTCGACGTCCATCTGTCCCATAATTCTGCGTCGCGGTTTCGTGCGGAATTCTGTGGCGAAACTTCTTCCGCAACATCGGAAACCTTTTCTGCTCCTAATTTTCGTCGATACGAGGGTGATACGCACGGGGTGCATTCAATGGGAACATTTGGGGAAATAAATGTACGCCGAATGGATATTCTGGGCTTCCGAATATTTGAGTTACGATAAAATCGAATTTTTCGCTCGTTCAAATAACGGCGAAGCAAACGGAAATCGGTGAAAATATACACTGCAATGATAATACTATCCGAGTGGCACGAGAGTTTTTCACCCGATTTTTATGCAATTTTTCACACTGCGGGGTTTTACTGCTTATATCAAGGTAATTATTTGTACAGAAAGACAGATTTTCTAAATATTCATTATGCGAAAGTTTTTCTCTTGTGCCTAAAGAACCGCAATGGGAAAGAAAGTAGATGCGAATATTTATCGTTTGCATTGCTAATATTTAATTTAACAACATACATTATATAATTTAAAGTTATTTAAAAAAATACAGAAATAATATATGTTTTAGAACAGCGCTTTCTCTTATAAATGTAAGTTATTTTATTTATCGGCACCATTTTTTCATATTTCTACTTATAAATCAAATTACTTATATATTCGTCTTTTTCGCCAATAAAATGCTTTATATTAAGCGCAAAATGAACCAAAGTCCTGTGTCCGGGAACAAAGCATCCGTTAATCAACGTTTTAACGATATCCGATTTGGGATACGTAGCGCGGCATAACTCACCTTTTTATTTGTCGATTCTCATTCGGTACTATTTCTTTTCCGAGTTTGATACCCGCAGGGGTTTGATTTAAATTGGAGTACGACGACATTTCAAGTGGGGATAATGTACATTAAATATATGACATCTGTATTGGTTTTACGATGTCATTAGTAACGATTCTCTTTACAACCTGCTTCTGAGTTATAAATTACTAGTCGGATACACGATGCTGGAGAGAAATAGTGTAATTAGCATTACTGTGCGCACACCAGATATACGTGTGTATATATACGAATATACAATTGGTTTGCACACGATCAAAACTTGCCTCATCCGTTTTATACTTTAATGTCGTGAACATACGTCTTCTGATCTCGCGAATCTCTTCAAAGCAGCTTTGTGTTCAAATATGTTTTTTGCAATCCATTTGCATACATTATATTTGCAGACATTAGATAATTATAATGTCACATTATCAGACTCGTATTTTCTTTAAATGTATGTGTATATGACCAAGATATATAAATATTATAGAAATGTGATAAAAATATATTTTGATAGAAATTAATATATTATATCTGAAATAATGCAATTTAAAATGTGTTGACACAAAATTATAAAATGATAAAGACAAATTATATAATTTTCTTTGGATAAAGTCTGCAGCATATTTTTTTATCATAAAAAGCTCTATTTTAAATAAATGTATTGCAGTTAAATAATAAAAAATATTTTACAAAATTATGCTAAAGAAATTAATAAAAAGTATATAAAGATAATAAATTTGCACAATTAAAAAGTGTACTATCATTATGACGTCTATGTATAATACATCAATTTAATAAATACAATATCATACAAATATTATACATTTTTGATTGTCTTAACGTTATTTCTTCGAAGAAATACAGGATATAATTGTTCTATTTGATTTTTCAGTGTTAACGATCCGTCGAAGAACGTCATCCGAATAAAAGTAAACGATGAGCTCGTAACGAGACACAAATCGTTTTCCATTGAAATTCCTCGACCTTGTGCCAACAATAACTACGGGATCGTTCGCTCAGTGGATGTCTATTCTTGTATTTGAAATTCCACGAAACGCAAATTTTCGCCCTATTCCATCGAGCGGTAGCTGGATGAATCGCTGGAGTTCAAGTCACACGTATACTGCATTTCCTGTAAGTACAATTCTATACAAGTTGTCAGTCGCATGCTGCGCAGCTGGAGCTTTCCAGATGAAATTACAGAAAGTTGAATGTCATCGGAATGTCCAGAAATATCGCGTTCTCCCTCGAACCATTAACATCACATTTATTTGTCCATTGCTGCATCTACTGGTGTTGGATAACACGAAAGTATAAAATTATAAGCTCAAGAAAAATTATCAAAGTTTTAGAAAATATTGTACTTAATAAAATAGAATGTTAAATAATTGGTGATTTATTTTGATCAGGTTTAATTATATATATATATTGTTTATCTTTTTACATATAGTTATATTTTTAAGAACGATGCAAATAACTGCTAATAACTGGACTTTTCGTTGGTCATACAGCATTCAATTTCAGATTGATATTGTTTTTTTACTTCATTTTCAAGTTTGTTTTTTATATAATTTTGGCTTTAAATTTGTATGTGTGTGCATGTTATGTAAAATTATTTGCAAACGTATATGCAATTTTATATACGATTTCAAGTGTAATATCTTTACACATGTCACTTTTGAAAAGTAACATTTATCCATTATAAGAGAAATACGTTACTAAAAAAATTTAAATATTTTGGGATATTATTATTTTTCACGAAAATATGATATCTAACTTAATGATTTGTTAGTTTTAAAATTTTAGCAATTTTTGCCTTATACACAATAATAATTTTATCATAATATTAATCTCGAGGCATGTATTTCGCGCATGATGTATACATATAATCAAGAATCAAAGTGACAACTCAAAATTGTAAATTATTGTTCTATCACGATCTTTCTTTTCCTTTATAAGCAACAATTATTTCTTAAAATATACTTAAAATTCAATTATATTTCGTCTGATGCTTTTTCGTTTGACTTTTCGATGATTTAAATATGATTCGGATTGAAATCGCACAATAAAATAATCAAATCGCAGATCCGTAATTAATATAACGATAAGCTCCGTGATATATTAATCGCTTATTAAATAATTGATCTATAATTTAAAATATTTGTATAATTTAATATTTTGCTTATGTATACATCATAGTACGCAAAATATTTTTGGCTGCGAATTATTAATAACATGGTATTCGCCTTGGCGGTGTAAACATTAGCGCGCTATTGTTAATCTATTACGGCTTACGGCTTTGTTATCATTCATACAGCGACACTCGAGCAAAAAGTAGTGGTACGAGATGCTCTATCGAATTCCTTTTCTAAACGCGATCGCGACAAATATCGGGAAATAATATCATATAATTAATAATTAATTCTCTCTTTCTCTCTCTTTAGGCAACAATTATTTCAAAGACACTTGAATAGAACTGTAGTGGGGCGAGACGCTCAAATTCCTTTCTTACGTGTATCATTCGCGCGGCGATACTCGAGCAATAAAGTAGTAGTGCGTTGTCGGTGCTGCGGGAGTGCC